ATAATGTAAAAATTATTAAATAATATAAACATTGTTATTTCTATTATCTTTAAGTAAGTATTAATAATTTTTTTTTTATATATATACAGTATAACATTTTTCAATAAAAAACTATTATTTTTAAATATTTAAATTCAAACCTAAAAATTAAAGTTAAAAAATCATCGTTTCTTTCCCTTCCTCCTCCCCCCCCCGCCCCCACCCTTAAAAGTCATTGTCTAAAGTTAATAGGTAACGATTTTTATTATTTATAAATGAGATTTTTGTCCTAGTCCAATGTATGTACTTATATAATATGTAATACTTTAGAATTAATTTATTTTTATAGAGTGGAAAAAATTATAAAGTAATACAGTAAAATTTTATTTACTATTAATTTAAAATTAGACATATTTTTAAAATATTTTAATTTAAATCAATAATAGATAAAGTTTTATTATTTTTATTTTACACATTCTCACTTTAAGGGACTGATTCTAATACTTTAATTTTATATATTTAATAATTAATAGTAGTATTCGATAGTTTTTTTTTATGTTAACCATGTATGTAATAAAAAGTTATTATTACTTAAAAATTATTTATTATTTTTTTATTTAATAAAATATCCATGCTCTGTTGATATATGAAATACAAATTTATCACATAATATACTAAACTAGATATTTATTTAAAATGCTATATATATATTTTAAATGTAAATGTATAGTTAATGAAAGGTAAAATTAAATTAACTTATAAGTAAATACTCAAACATTTTTCTATTAAATATTCCAAGAGTTTGGATTTATATATTTTGCCAATACTAATATTCTATTTTTATATCTCTAATATAGTTTTTTAATTATTAAATAATTTTTTAATATAATCAATATATATTTAAAACATATTTTATACCTGTTTGTATTTACGTTTCTACTAATAATAACATAATTTTACAAATGCTAATACAAGTTTTGGTGGCAGCTGTATATATATATATATATTTGTACAAAATGCAAAATAGGAATTTGATAAGTCTGTAGTGAAGCAATCAAACCCTAAATACAAACCGTACATAGATTGGGACTGTTTCCTACCTTTGGCACGCGGAGACTTAAGAAACAATATGGACGGCAAGTACAAGGCTGGGGCACACATTTTTAATTTTAGTTGTTTACTGTTCCATAAATACTTGGTGTAACTAATACGAAGCACAACATACAAGTTAAGCTTGTCCCAATCTTCTTTACTTGCCAATGATTCTGATGCTAATTAACCTAATGAATACCATAATTAGGTCCATATCCATTCATGTTAATTTTACCAGTAATTTCCACTTTCCTCAGACATTTTTGAACTCAAGTGGGTCAGAGTCATAACAAATAGATATTAAAAATCAACGGAGATAAAAAAAAAAAAAAAGGTGTGCAAATTATATATATCTAACTCTTCTTAAATATTGGATGAGATTCATATTTTAAAATCTTAGCTCAATCAAAAGAGAATAATTATTCAAGTCTTTTAAAGAGTATTTTGAGTCTATTCCTAGATGCATGGAATTTCTAAACATTAATCGGCTAATTAACTATCTTAATCATCAATATGACATGCATCCATATAAGATAAGCAGATTTGTATATATATTCATGGATTTTCTGGGCATAATCTTTCAATGATAGTAAATGACTGTAGAGCTTTTCCAGCAATGTTTGAGGCTTATGTGGTTAAGCTTTATTGATTGACCTTGACCTACTCAGGCATGTTGGTGCCGTGACTTGTCTCTCTCACTTTCTGGTTTTTTGATGCTTAGTGTTTATCGTAGTTAAGCTTAACCTGTGAGATTATTATATATGCATACAGTACTGCAAAAGTATGTGATGTGTTGTCTTGAAATTCAGTGAAACAATCGAGATGCGATCGTCGCTTGCAGACATAAATTGTAGCTTTCTATTGACATCTTCAGTTTGGGATATTTTAGCTTTGGTTAATTATAAAGACATGAAGGCCCGAATGATTATATATTGTCTGATAAAGAGTATTAGAGAGTGTTCAGGGATTGGGATGTATTTAAAAATCTATCATTAATTAGACAACAAATCGAGTATTTTAAAATTCTATCATTAAGCTATTTAATCAATGAAAATATGAATTAGCAAATTGTTAATTTAATTATTACTGAATTTTTATTGAATAAGTAATATTTTTTAATCCAACATCAGAGACTATGAAATGTTTCAAATTTTATTTATTTAAAAATAATCTCTGCTTATGGTTTATAGTTGCCAATTATAACAACTCATTAATAAATTTCCAACATAGACCTTTACAACTTAACATCAAACTTTTACTTCTAAAAAACTATTTTGGTTGAATATGAAAATTAAAAATTACAATAAGATTGAAAATTGAAATAAGCTATTTAAATTGGTTTTTGATCGATTTCGGACAAATATATAGTGCTCAACATGAATATGTCGTGCTTTTTTGGTCTCGATGATTTTCTTGGATGAAAAAAATAAATTAAATTAAATTAAATTAACTTAACGGTACATTTAGACAAATAAGTTAAATAAATACTTACTTAACAAAATTTAGTGTAAATTTAAAAAAAAATAAAAAATAGTTATATAAAAATCATAAATTATATTTATAAGTTTAACTCAATACTTTCTAAAATGCTCACATGATATAATCGAAAATGTAACTCAATATTTTCTATGTTCCAACTTTAGAATTCAAAATTTTGAAGAGAAAAACATAGGTCTTAGTTCAATATTCCATGGCATGTCTTTCATGAAACTAGTGCGTCGTATTGTGTGCTTCAAAATGGGTGCCACTCTACCAACGTCAAAAAATGGTTCTTCTAATTTGAAACAAAAAAGTCTTTCAAAAAGAATGGTTAGAAATCTAAAGAGAGGCAGCAGTTAGAAAAAAAAAAAGCCCATCATAGTTAAGCAGAAAACGGCGCTTACAAAACACACTTAATAGACCGAAGCGAAGTTTGGACCAAAAAACAAAAAAAGAGACGAAAACGGACTAACCTATATTGAAAAAAAATTAAAAATTTACATATTTTATTAAATAAAATAATTTTTAGCTTTTGTTGTTTACAATTAATTCTAAAAAATAATTAAATAAACCGACATTTACTGGTCTAAGTGATAAAGAGTTGAATTTTTCATTAGGGTTTTAGACTTCAAGACTTACGTATGTAACAACTAGGCGCTAAAGAATTTTGTTACCTTAAGTGAGTTTATTTAACTCAATTAGAATTGGTTTCAATTTAAACTAATTTTTGAATACTAATGTTTAAAATTAGCTTTTAATCTATTTTAATTTAGTCATATACAGTAATAAGTTCTCTCTCTTTAACACTCGGCCAATACCACAATTTTTTTTTCACGAATCATCGTACGTAATGCTCTTTTTCGTTTTATATATATATGTTTTTCAGAAGGATATTTTATTCTTATTTATCAATGTTTTTAGTAATTAAAGATGATATTATCTGTTTTGTTTAATTTTTTTATTTTATCTAAATTTTAAATGTTTTATGTAGTCATTATAAGTAATAAAAAATAATATTAAAAAATTTAAAATAATTTCAATATAATTGAGAATGTTAATTATATTTGTGAATTAATGTACTGTTTTCTAAAACAAGAATAAACAGTGATAATATATGACACAAAGAAAAATACTCCTCCAAATGTAGTCCTCCTTCAATGTTTTCGTTCCTGTTCCCAGTCACCTATCTTTATAAACCAAATAAATAAACAAAAACGTTTTCTCTTGACATTTTTTTCTCTCCAGGGAATGCTATATAATATAGTACTGTTCTGCCAACGCAAATGCAAATGGTCTTTTACCAACAATAGAATGATCTTGTTTAAAGCTGACCTTAAACTCACTGATATTCAACTCTTGAAAGGCTGAAAAATATTTCCTTTTCCCCACTTCATTAGTTTGCCTGATTTTCAAAGTAAGAAAAAGCAACAATCTTTTCTCCCAAACAGTTCTCTAACAACTTCTCTGTAGAAACAACAGTCAAAAATCACAAAAGTTCAACCTTATTTTTATACAAATTTGGAAGGAGTAAAATATAGTTTTAACATTTGTAAATATGATCATGTTATTTTTTTAATTTTTTTTATTATTTCTTACTAATGACATGACATATATCATGTCACATGTTCATTTTGTAGATATGAGATGCCTTTTTTTTTAATATTTATTAACTAATAAGACATAATAAATTTTTTATACGCTAAATCCTATTCTTTAAAGCAAATTGAATTATGTAAAGAAGTATTGATTAGAAAGAAATGGGATAAGATAACATAGTGTATTTATTTTATTATTTTAATATACATCAAACATAAAATAAGATAAAAATGTATTTCAATTTTATCTTATTAATTATTTATACTAACTTTTTAATCTTATATAAATAAAACAAGCACAAAAAGTTATTAATTTGAAATGATTAAATTAATGTTGCGTGTTATTATTAAATAACAATGTGACCTTAAAAACACTAACACTCATGAGAACTAAAACTAGTAAATAATATATTTAAGAACTTAAAGTAAAGTTAATTATATTTATAGGAAAATAAGGATTAAAATATTTGCAAATATTTTTTTTTTCTTTATACTTATCTTTGCTCGATCATTATTCATTTCATCTGAGTTTTTTTTAGGTCTCAATCATAAAAAGTGTTGTAAGAGGAGATATCGATCGATTTGAAAGACGGGAAAGATTGGAAGAGAATTACACACAGTCTTACAAGATTCATCAATTATTAATTAACCAACCAAAACTTAATATTATTGTTTTATCTATACATAAGCGATACACAAGTTGAGAAAAAAAGAAATATCAATTCTTACGTTAAAGAATTGAAAGAATACAATACACAAATTCAAACAGCACCAACTAAATACAAACCAGTCACCTTAAAAGAAAAAAAACTAAATACAAATTAGTGATTGGACGAATTAGTGACAAGAAAGAAATCAGACAAAGGCACCAGCAAAATTGGGTGCCATCTTTCCAAACAAAACCTTTAAGTCATTCTCCAGCGGTGTTAAGTTCAAATCCAAACACGTAACTGCTCTCGTGCTATTCGATCTTTTCAAAACCGGTACTTGTGCAACAACATGTTTTATTGAAGAAAACTCCTCGTTGATAACAGTTCTGTGCCTTCTCATGTGGCCTCCAAGTGCTTGTCCCAATGAGAATTCTTGTCCACAAATGGAACATTCATGCATTTTGGGTTTATTAATTCCCAAACTAAGAGATGTGGCATGTGCTTTGATTTCGTCCCCTTCAAGTTTCAACCTCTTGTGGCTAGCTCTGTGGCCACCCAATGCTTGAAAGGACGAGAACTTGCGGTTGCAAGTTTTGCACTCAAATTCCACTGCCTCAAAACTTCTCTGCTGTAGCTTTTTGCCTTCTTGGGGTCGAGAGAGAAGCATTAGACAATTTGCCAAATCTATGTTCTCTAACCCTTCCATATCTCTTTGTCTCTTCATTGCGTACAAAAAAATTACAAAATGGAATGTAATTAATTAATGAGAGTGCGTAAAAGAATTAAGAAATGAGATGTGATCGGTGACAAAATGAATTTCTAAGTGTGGGATTGGTGAGCAACAATTGGAAATGGAGGTTTATATTATTTATAAGATGCCACTTCGAAGAAAGTCAAGGAATTGGACTGATTTAAATAAACTAAGTATGGAGGCTCTCTTATATCAATAATCAATGCTTTTTGAGTTTAGCAAAGTAAGAGTTTTTAATAGTTAAAAAGCAATTAAAAAAAAAAAGGGCAATGTAGGCATGTCTCTATGACTAGTCGTACTTTATGACATAATGACAATAATACCCTCTGCATACGTAATATTCTGCTGTGATGCTGGCGAAAGGATTGTGTGGTTTGAGTATTCTAGAATAGTTATATTATTCTCGTAATATATCTTATGATAACATTTTATTTTTATTTTTATCACATTATTTATCTAATTATATGCCTATTTTTTTTTATCTATTTTTAATTTGTAAAAAAAACAACAACTTTATTTTATTGTACCTATTGACGTTTTGCTCACGTGGGGTTTACGGTCACTGGTTTATGAATCCATTGAACCGCGTGGGGAGCTACCCCCTGAACCGGTCGTGTAAAGTGAGCTACCCTACAACTGTAGAAGTTGGTGTTTCTTTGAAACATGGATTTCCTGAAATTATATATAATTTAGTGACTCGCTCCTTTGTGTTTTGGGTGCGCAAATCACTTGTTTATTGATTTGTCATATCTTTTAATATTAAAAATCTGAAAACTATTTGATTTAATTTTAATAAGCTTCAATATGGACTGCGTGCGTTGACATATGCTAATTTGCTAATGCAACAAATATTCGCATTTGAATTTGAATAAACAATAATTAATGAATGCTTTTTCACACTGACATTTCAACTTATAGATACGTTTAAGAGAATGTGAAGACAGTGAAAGTTGATGCACAGTCCACAAAAGCCAAAGTAGCTAAGTGGGGGAGAATACGAGAGTGGAACAACGCACTGGTAGCCGGCAGGAAAGCCTCAAATATTCAAAGTTCAAACCAAAACCTATAGAAACATTTGATAATTTTGATCATTCCAAATGTGTCATCACGAGGATATCAAGTTACTAGTAAATTTCATGAGTATTATATGGATATTTTTAAACTTAAGCAATTTTTTTAAAAATAAACAAATAAAATATCATTAATATGATACGCAATTAATTATGTGTTCTAAGGAAAAAAAACATTTTAATATTAAGAATAAAAAATATTTTATTATATATAAAAATATATTAAAAGATAAAGTCTTAAAATTGAAGAAAAAATATATAAAATATAATTTTTGAGTCTATTAATTTAATATGATGTGGGTTGAAATCAAACTTCCTAAACTTATTAGGTCAATTTGGTGAACTAAGAGTATTGATATTCGTTTACATTTACTCATTTTACTGTTTTCATCAACGCCACCTTAGCAAGGGCATTGCATGATGCAACAAAATTGAATTTTTCGAGCTTCCGAGTCTTATTTGTTACATATATAGTTTATGTCTTTTCAAATATCGATATTAAACAAGTAATATCCTAGTGCTTAAGTACGAGAGCGTGAACTAAATTACTATAAAAATGACAAGTGTGGGTGATGTAATTCTTTTTTTTTCATATCGGTAATTATATTTTTAATACAAACTATTATTATTATTTAATTTAAGACTGGACACCTTTAAGAAAATGGTATTGGTAAATACTAGATTATTATTAGCTTGGAAGGTGATGGATTGATTCATAAAATAAACAAATGTTATGTAATTTGAAATTATTTATACACATAATATAACATGAGTGAGCTACTGAAAGACGATATGTAACACTCAATGTTTTTTTATTCATACAAGAGCCGTTGAGTCAATGATTTGACTGTATTTTATTTATTGAACTAGCTTTGACTTATTGTGAAGACGATAGTGCCCCTGCTCCACCTGATGTGCGATTGCTGACGGGAATCTTGACCATGATTGCTAAATGTTACCGCAACTTGGAGTGGCCATCCTTGAAATTCTGATCCACACGGTTTTAGAAAATTCTTTTGGTAGACAAAAACATTTTAATTTTGGAAAGCTACTTTGATTTAAAGAACAGGGGAAGGTAGACCAACCAAAAAAGAGGGAAAGCAGCTTCCGAAGAAACTACCTTTGTTTATAGGGATTTTTAACTTTGATTATTATAAAATATGTGTATACGTATACAAGTTTGGTCTATGTTCAACATGTATGTGCTGCAGCGAGTGTGGATCCACGGATTCGATTAAACACTACTTTTCTTTTGTGTGCCACATTTGTACCGTACAACAGTTTCAGATATGCCTCTGCCATTGTTAAAAACTCTACACTTCAAACCTCAAATGTCACTACCACTTTTTTCTGACTTCTATTTTAATACTTAGTTTAGCTGTATAAACCAGACATCTTCTATAAATATAATATAATTATTTTTTAATTTATACACGTTAATGATGAATGAAATCGCATTCAATTTTTAGTAATGTACCCAGTTAAAGAAATCAGTTTTACGCAATCTAGTTAAGAAAACAAATTTGATTTTTACATGAAAGTTTGAAAACAAGTAACACACTAGAGAATTCATCTTCATGATCACTTTTCTTTCATTCGAAGATAAAAGGGAATCTCATGACAGCGAAACTTCACACCGTCGTCGAAAGATAAAAAGACAGGACATGTTAGCAACGAAAGAGTTGAACTACTTATATATTATAAATAATATATAAATTATATATTATTTATAATAATAAAAACATGATTAACATATTAAGTTTATATTAATATATTAATTTATATACTCTATTTTAAAAATATTTATTTAAAATAAAAAATTTGTTCTCTTCTTCCTTTTTTTTACAAAGATTTTTTTTCCTTTTAACAACTCCTTGACTTCTTGACTGTTATACTAAAGTGTGCTTGAATACACCATTTATTTAAGTATTTATTTATTATTATTTTAAATTGTAACCTATATCATAAATTCAACTATAAAACTTATTAGAATAAGTTAAAAATAATTTATATTTAAAAAATTATTAAGATAAAATAAAAAATAATCTATAAGTGCACTAAGTCTTGAATATCGTATATTCAGTGAGAAAACTAAGGTAAAAGTGATTTAATTTAAACATAATTAGTTAAAATTATTTTATTTAAATTTGATATATATTAACATTTTGTTAATATTATTATAATTAGTTATGTCTCACTCAATATAGAATTTAGTGAAGATTTATTTTATCTAAAAAAAGTATTGTCAAACTTATTTTATTTTATTTTTATCTAACTCACAAATATCTTTTATAGGTGGTAATTTTGTTTAAACTAAAGACTACTAATTAAGTAAAAATATTTGTGTGTTAATTAATTTATGTACAAATAGTCGATTGCTAAATTTTTGTCTTCACAATCTGTTGAGAAAAATATTTCACAAAGTCAATCACAGAATCAGTTTTTCATAAGTATCAATCGTTAATAATAAACCATCATACATTTAGCTACTTAAAAAAATCAATTAAAAAATTAGTCACGATTATATTTAAGGGACCAATTGTTTTATTTTAGCTATAAGAAATTAGTTACCAGTGAGTGTTTTAGTTGATTATACCTTTGGAACTATTTTAATAAATATAAAGTTATGTATATTTATTTTGAATGTTCGTATGGGTATAACTTAATTAAATCGTGAAGAATAAGAAGAATTGAAATTTATCATATAAATAATTATTTTATTAAAAAATAAAAATAATTTTAATTGTTTTTTTAATTTAAGATAAAAAAACAATTGGTAAGCATACAAATGAAGATGTCATCGAAAAATTGGTAACCATACATTCATTTTAAAGTATATTTCTTTTAAATAACTAAATATCTTGCCCAAAATCCATCACATAATTTATTTCATAACTTAGTAAAACCAGACCCTGTTCATAACATGGGCCAACAAATCAAGTTCTAATACATATATCATATAATTTCTTTTATTGTCAGTTAAGTTACGATAGAAGTTTTACTGTGTTATAATATAATTAACTATCTTATACAATAATAAATGTTGAGTCTTAAGAGAATAAAAAAAATAGAAATCACAAAACAAAAAATATTAAACTTAATGAGTAATCGCAAGAGAATATTGAAGTAATTTTTTTAGTAAAGTAAAAAAAAAAAAAAAGGCAGCGAGAGGCCCAAATTTTTTTTAGAAAATGTTATTAAAATAATTTTTTTGATTAATAATATTTTAAAATTTTAATTTTTCACTGAAGTTAATAAAGCTGTGTAATCCATGTAATCTTCTTCATGTATTGAGACTTTGTTGTTTCGTATTTTAGTGCATTGTTGAATTCAAAAGCTTTTGCATAAGAGGCTCGTTAAGGATAGTGATATTACATATATAACCATTAATTTTCGAGACAATTGATCGTTTGTTAATATAGTATTGGAACACTAGAAGTCGAGGATAATCGGTATAAAAGGAAATAAATATCAGAAACAATGATATGGTAACAAGGTATCATTCATTCATAAGGGAAAAACCAATGGATTTTTATACAAAAAAATTGAAAGAATACATGGTCTTGAAACAGATAAAAATGTCAAGTTGATCAGAACAAAGAAAGAGGAACCGGGGGTGACTTCATCCCAAACATCAAGTCATTCTCAAGAGGTGTCAAGTTCAAGTCCAAGCACATAACCCTGGTGCTATTCGATCTTTTCAAAACTGGGATTTTTGCAATAACTTGGTTGATAGAAGAAAACCCTTCATTGATGGCACCTCTGTGTTTTCTCATGTGGCCACCCAATGCCTGACCCAGAGAGAATCCGAGGCCACAAATAGAGCACTCGTGCATTTTGGGTTTGTTCCACAAGCTCAGAGATTTTGCCTCTTCTTTGAGTTCTTCACCACCCTCTAGTTTCGGCCTCTTGTGGCTAGCCCTGTGGCCACCCAGTGCTTGAAAAGACGAGAACTTGCGGTTGCAGGTCTTGCATTCAAATTCCACCGACCCAAAACTTTTCTCTTGTGCTTTGTTGCTTTCTTGTGGAGAACAAAGTAGCATCAGACAATTATCTCTCTGTCTCTTCATTGCTAAACCAAAGAGAAAAAGAAAATTTTGTGTGGGATGTTAGTGTAATGAACTAGGCTGCGTCCAAGGGGTATGTTGTGTTTTGTCAAATTGAATGGTAGTGAGAAACTCTTGAACATGGGGATTTGCTATTTATAGATTGTTGGAGACGTGTCAAGATAACGTTAACGTGGAGAAGACACTGGTCTTTGTTCAAAATCAGAAGGAAAGTCTATTTTATAAACTACAATAAAATACAAGTTGGACTACGCTTTTTGACTCGTCGTGATGACGTGAATGCCCTTGATCATGCCAAGTTTCTGGTCGAGTGTTGCAATTATACTTGTCTTCTTTTGGTATTTCAAAAGCCAAAATATTTAGTTCACGTGACGCTTAAGCCTTACGCTTACGTATCGCTTTTTGTCCGTGTTGAGCCACCGAGTTAAAATAATAAATAGCTGTGGTCCACATGTTCCTGGAAACTTCGATTTTCAACTAAGAACATTCTGTGATGTTTCTACTGAAACATAACTTGTGAACGAAAAGGGCAAGCAACTTCGGATGAATAGTTAAACCATTTTATTGGCGTAACAGTAATATTTGGTTTCACTTTGGACTTTATCTAAGTTACTGTATATAGTAAATAACTCTCTTGTTTTAGGTGGATTAAATAAAACATTGTTCATACAAAATTAAATAAAAAATTATACATTTTTCAATATAATGTCTTAATTTCGTTAGTCTACTTAAGTCGGGATTATTTAATACACTGACTAACTTAGACAAATCCTTCTCTTGAATATGGCAGAGTCTTCAAATTTATGCTACAGACTAATTTTATTGAATGGTCGCAAAAGGCATGTTTATTCTGTGTGTTCTCAATTGCTTTGGTTGGTGAAACCATCTGAAAACCCGTGCTTTGCTTTCACACGTAGGTACTTTAGCCAGCGGCTGAATCCGGCATGCTGTCAAATATGAGCAGCAGATTGGAAAACAGATGAATACTCTTAGAGAGTTTATAAAGAAATTAATAATCAGTTTTCAGGGACTGTCACACCTTAAGCAATAGAATTTTATTTTTTTTTATGTCAGCTAACAGAATATTTAAAAGAGGAATGTAGAATATTTAGCTAATAGAAAATTCTACACTTGTTCTAGCATCTGATCTAGTTACACGTTATAGGGAGTTGTTCAACAGTTGATGAGCCTCCCTTGTCTGTATAGTACTAATAGAAAAATATAACTAGGTAGGTAATTTCATCCAACTAGTGTTAGCATATATTCTGTTGTGTGGTTTCATTCTCTAACTAAACTAGAATCAATTCACATCTGCAAAAGGAATTCAATTTTGAGATGCCACTAGGCTTGGAATTTTGCTTTCTGCTTAGTTCCATTTTGACCTGTTCACTGAGGAATTTTCTTTTTTGTGATCTTTGTCCTCATTTCAACTTATATTCTCATCAACCTGTTCATATAGAACTGAAAAAAGATTTAACTTTTGGTTCATTCATTTCACAAGATAAGAGAATAATTAACCATAGAGCCCTGCAAAAAGAAATGTTGTGATTCATATGATATCTTACTATGAGGTTGCTGAACAATTCATGAAATACAGGTGCATGAATTAACAACAGTCAATCTATAGAAAAACAATTTATTTTCTATTTATTTGAAAGATTTATTTCACATCCAACAATTCCACAAAGTAAAGATAAAGATTCCACGTAGCGTATACCACATGATTTTTAAGAAGGCACTTTTCTGCTTGGACATAGATATTTGATACGCTTCCACGATGCTTTTCTTATACAGAATTCGGCTGCTCCAACCAGTGTAACAATGGAATCAATTTCCTTTTTCTCAGGGTCCAGCATCAATGAATTGAAGTATAAGTCTTTAATTAGGTATCTAAACTTCTTATTTTATTTTTTAAAATTGGGTTTATATCTTGAAATTTAGTTTAAAAGTAATTAACGCATATTCAAACATGACTAAAAAATTCAAAGACCTAATTACAAACTTTTAAAAAAAATAATTACAACTTTTCAAGGAATTCCAACACTTAGAAAGTAATTTAACCTTTTCTTTATCCTTGATTACAGATATTTTTTTTACCGAAAATCCTCTCTTAAATTGATACCATTATTTCGTGGTCAGAAAATAAGCAATTATATGTTACTATTTTAAAAAAAATATTTAAAATTTTTTATTATAAATTAAAAGAGCTTCAAGAACTACGTAATACCATTTGTTTCTTGGTAAATTCAAATTAAAAATATTTTAGTATTGACAATTGATATCATATTTTGTTTGTAAAAATTAAAGGCACTGTCCAAGTAAAATAATGCAAGATTTTAGACATAATAATTTATCGTGCCGAATTTGAAGATAAATCAACCACCTGCAGGACTTAATTACAAATTGAATATTTTCTCCACCTGAATCCAGGTACCTTACATTTGAGCTATATTTTATAATTTTGAAACCCATTTTCACGAAAAGCCATTGAAACTCATCAGCTTTTCCAATATCAGACCATTTTCGTTGCTTCATTGCTTATTAAGATTAACAAAGTACAACAAATAACCATTGTGACTCTTTCAGCCAAGGAAGAATGCTACCACCTCACTTTTTAAAACACACTTTTGAATCAATTTTTTTTTTTAAAAAAAAGATCAATTAATAAAATAAGTGTTTCATTGTTTGTAAAAAATAAATCAATTACAAGACATGCATTAAAGAGAGTTTTAAAGAAAAGTGTGGCGAACATTTCACTTCTCCATATATCGAACACAAGGTAAAACACTGAGAACAATTAGAAAGTCCGCATCTCATACAAATAATTTTCAGTAATTCCTAATTCCCGAAGCCTTGAGTTTAACAATAATTTTAAACAACATATCAAAGAGGCAAAGATCCATAATAAACTAATTCGGCTGATCCTGTCATATAGACATGATTATCTTTCTCCCTCCACTCAATCTGAAGAGGACCTCCAGGTAGATCAACCATGCAATTCTGTAACAAATTGGCAGATTTAAAAATAATGGCAAATTCAAGCTAAAGTATTTTCAATTAGCAAATTGCAACTTGTAGAAAAATGCTTCATCATATATCTACAGATATGTAACTACAATGCAGATCAGGACAGAATGCTACTGAACAAGGCATGAGCTAGAAATAGCTACAACAACATTTCTATTATCTAGCAGACCAAGAAACAAAAATGCACTAATACAGCAGATGAGAAAGAGTCAAGACACCTTTTGCACAAGTACAATACCCCAAGTTTGGTCTACACAAGTTTGGGGTGGAGGGAAATGGAAGGGAAGGCATTTTTATAAATTAAAGGAGCTATATAATATTTATAAAGATAAATAAAGATTAGGAAATTAAATTTACGTTAATATATCATTATATTTCTTTAATTTTATAAAACTAAAATTAGAGAATATTTATTAGAAATGAAAAAATTCCGCTCCCTTCCCTTCCCTCAAAGACCCAACCTAACTCCCAAACATACCAAAGAAAATCCCCAAGAAGAAAATTTTTCAATGAAAGGATTCATGATTACAAAGACATTCTTTTAACAAAATCAGTGACTATCAAATCAAATTTATTATATATGTAACTATAGATTACCACAAAATTTTTAATAAGAAAATCAACAGTTCTCATATTGTTAAAAGCAAAGTAGCAAACTTACTCTTCCTGCACGACCCTCTAGAACTGCTGCAACGACAGTAGCACAAGCTCCAGTTCCACAGGCTAGGGTTGCTCCTGCACAACATAAAAAAGAGCTCTCAAACAAAATTTTGAAATACCTTGAACTTACCCTAACCACACTAACAATGCTAATCAGACAAGTGCGAATATTAGATGATCTAACCTGCTCCACGCTCCCAAACACGCATCTTCAGGTGAGAATTAGACAGAACTTGCACAAACTCTGCACATTCAATAAGAAACCATATAACTAATGAGAGTGAGATGTGGCAACATGATTAGCATGATGATGACTATACCTATTTAGGCCATTTGGGTCAGGCTCAAAGAATCAAAACATCGAGGGAGGAAGATTTGGCAATAAAACATCAAATCTAGCCATAATTGCATAAATATTATATGTTCTACCTAAAAAGAAGGATCAAACACCCCTCCCCTATCCTAAGCTAGCCATACAGTCTGACAAAATATTCCAACTGCATCACGTTCCCAAGCATTAAACTAAGAATAATTACAAGTCAATAAGTCAGTTATCACCATCCAGGCAAAATGTTAATGTGGCTTGCTGTATGACCATGGAAGACAAAATTTTTATAAAAAAAACCTAGCAGCAGAAATAAAGAATTGAGGGGGCGAGGAGTTAAGAATCATATTCTAATTGTAGAAATAGACAAATCTGACCTGTGTTAGTTCGTGCAGGAAACACCTCATGATGTTCAAATTTTGGGCCAATTTCTGCTAGCTTTAATTCATCAACAGACAAATTCTGTTGCAACACGGATTAAAGCAAATATGACGTGTCAAAAGCAGAAAAATGTGAAGTTTTTGTAAGACTGTTGAAGATGTAATTAAAAAAGGTTCTAGTAACATAAAAAACATTTTAAAGGAGCTATTTTCCTTTTGATACAAATGGTTAATTGGTTATACATTAAATTATGTGTGTGATCATCTATGCATGTGTATATAATGTCATATTACAAATCACACATTAATCTCTTGTCTTCCTACTCCTAGTTCTTACACAGTTTCATTCCTTGGAATAGATCCAATATGCACTGCAAAATACATAGAAGGAAATTGTAGTTACGAAATATCTATTGTATGTACAAAGTACAAACTAAAGACCTGGCTTCCTTCTTTGCTGAAAGTTACACAGTGTGGATTTCCCATGCTAACACAGGTCACATTCCAAATAACTCCATCAACATTTAGCTCCGATTTGACCAATGCATTATCCTTATTTGCAGGTAATTTAGTAGGCACATCTGATGCTTTAAGAATTGGTTCCCCCATATCAACTCTGACCTGAAACAGTATTATTGTCCATCAAGATAAGCTAATAAAAGAATATTAGAAAAGAGACAAAGAAAACATTCTTTGAGTTATTAACCCAATTAAGGCACCTTAAAACCTGCATGAGCTGATGCCATTAAACAATATCACATCAATAAGTAAATTGCAAATATTTGCAGACGTAACAACATACATTTCCATCCTCCAAGACTTCAGGAACAATCAGACCAGCACCAGTATGTATGGTAAAACTGCAAAGTATGAAAACATAAGTTGAAATTTTATGAAGTCCATTATCATATAGTAACATTGAGGAGGTGACAACAAGAGTATGATAAAAAAATCACAATCAATTTACCAACTTCATTTTCAATTTAGTAAATTTTGTCTTCAAAATATTCATTATACATATTAAAAATTGTCCCAAAAACACACTATATCACAAAAACAAACCTCAAGAAATAAGAAGCAAGACAGTACCACGCTACAGAAAAGGAAAACTAAAGAACAAAACAAAAATTTTCAGACAGAAAAACTCGAAAATGACCATACCTATGCCTTCCATGTAAATTCTCAAGCTGAGAAACGAATTTGGCAAAGCATCGCACTCCATTGCCACACATCTAGGGAGAAATGCGTCAATGAGATCAAAACCAGTTCATGCAATCATGATTTCATGAGAATGCACTAATCACAATTCAATATAAGAATTACCTCAGGTTCACTACCATCGGAGTTAAAAATCCTCATAGTATAGTCGGTGCCGTTGATGCCAGGTAAGACAAAGATAACTCCGTCAGCTCCAACGCCAAAGTTACGATCACAGAGTTGCACAGCTTTCTCTGGACTAATCCTGGGCTCTGAAGAGTCTCTATTGTCAATCTATGCAAAATACTCACAACAACGATAATCGTCAAAAGCGAATGGTTACTCGATGGGGAAAATCGATTAGGAAGGTAAACTCACCAAAACGAAGTCGTTTCCGAGGCCATGGTACTTGGCGAAATGGAGAAAGTCACTCTCTCTGTGGTGGAGGAAGGAAGAGGAGGAGGAGGTTTTGACGGGGGTATCTGTGGTCATGGAGGAAGCGACGAGGCGGAAATTAGGGTACTTGAAAGTGCGCTGTGGTGTGGGGAAAGTGGATCTTGAAGGACCAAAGAGATTGACGGAGGCCAGAGAGCGGCGAGTGGGAGATGTAAGATGAACGGAAATGGTGGCGGCTATGGCCATCGCTGCAACTTCAATTGGTCGGCAGCTACTCCACACTTCGTCTCAAGCCGCCAAGCCAAGTCACTGAGGGTAATATGGGGGTTTGGTTATCCACGGTCGCCATTGAGCTCGTGTCTTGCACAAAATAATTGTTTTTTATTTTAATATTTATAACTAGTGTTAATTAATGCATTATATTATCAGGATAAATAAGATTTAATGATAATAAAATCATTTATTTATAGATATAGAGGCGAGTTGGCCTATTTAGATTAATTTTGAATTTTTAAAATAAATTATTTAACAAAAAAATAATTATTAGCAATGTTTTTTAGTGAATAACCACTAAAATTTCAAAAATAAGGACTCAACTTTTTTTTAAATAAAGACTCAAATTTGATATATAGACATATAAAATGTCCTTGTAATTTTTTTTTTCATTATTATGATATTGTGTGTACTGGTCAAAAAATTATAGTAATTTATGTTACCAATTAATTTTGTGAGTTTAAATTAAAAATGTTCAAATTATTTAAGTATAGGATCATTCGGGAAGTTCTGTGTATGAAAAAGTGTTGTAAAGAGTAATTTATTCTTTTGAAGTCTTACATATCTTGGTAGATTAGTTTCTACCCTTTAAAAAATAATATTTTTAATAATAATAATAATAATAATAATAATAATAATAATAATAATAGTAGTAACAGTAGTAGTAATTCCTTAAATTAGATTAAGTTTGTTTGTTGATAATAAATTTTGTCAAATTAGACTTTTATAGGATGTAATATAAAAATTTCATATTTATTTTTTTCTTTATATGTATTAAATAAGTGTGACATTATTAAAATTTGTAAATACTTATAAAGAGGAAAATAAATGTAAAATTTTTATATGATAAGATTGTATAAAAAAATCAATAACAAAAGATCCAATAAATTTTTTATAAAATTATGAACATCAATTATTTCAATATCTGATTTGATAAATTTTTATGCCTAACTTTAGACAAGTTATTTGTATTTTTCAATTTTCACTTTTAATTCATACTTAAAAAATAAAGTTAAAAGACATTTTGTAAAAATAAAATAATCGATATTTATAATTTCAAGAATTAAACCAAAAGTTTTCTGGAAAGTATCCACTTTGTATGAGATGCTGAAGTTTCAAAACTAAATAGAAAAAATGGAAAGAAAAAGTAGATTATGAGTAACGATTGAGTCCCTTAAAGTGAGCGACATCTGCCAACCATGACCGCGAGCGGAAGGTAGAGTCAATTCCATTTGTTACAAACTAAAAATTGGTCTCTAAACAGAAACCTTAGTACAATACGGTTGACGTAGGAACCGGTTCACATTTAGTTTCGTCTTCTTGGAACTGAAAACGTTATTTTCGTTCACACACAAAAACTATGGTTCAACCCGAAATGTTTGTTTGTTCTATTTCTATAGTATAAGATACACTCAGCAAAACTGTAGTTCTTCTGTCAAAGCCTAATTATGAATTGGCCATAATAATGTCTCTAAAATATAGGTCCTCAAAATAGACCGCAAGCAATTGACAATCAGAGGAAAGAATATCAACTATATATTGGGAAACAACATCCCTATAACGACGGAGACGTTGATATACTAAACAACTGTTCATTTAGAATATAAAAACGGAGTTATTATTGTTTCTCAAAATCCAATCATTCACTTTTGTCTCAATACGACTTTACCTGTTTCAACATTTTATACGAGATTGCTTGTTAGAGTTGACACAACGCCGTAATTGCTTATTTTAATAGCTTGCTAAACATGATTTCTTCTGAGAATGAGGTGAGTGATTCTTCTATTATCTTTCTGAATGAGTTTTCATTATTTTCAATTGGGTTTCAGTTATTCATTATTTCGTTTGCATTATTGGGTGTTCCATGCATGCATTCTTCTTTATATTAGGGGTATATCCAAGTCTAGAGATTCCATTTGAATACTGGACTCATTTTTGGTTGCCAATCTATGATTTAGTAATCATCAAATTAGAATTGAAACAATGGTTTTCAAAGTAAGGTTACGACAATTTTTGCCATTAAAGGTTTAGCTTGTGTTTTGGTGGTAATTAAGGAATCATATTTATAGGATCACAAAATGCACGTGTCTTTCTTTTAATAAACCATCGGGAAACTAGAGAGTTTTTCGTTATCAATATAAGATGCACTTGATAACGACCGAACAACTAGTCCTACCGGGACGAGTGTAGTCTGGGGAGCACAATTATGTGTGTTCATTATGTTGTCAAAAGCAGAAATAAGAAAAACAAAAGCCCTTTGAAAAGTTGAATAACAATAATTTACCTTTTAATCAAAGGGATAAGAAATTGAACACCTGTTACTTTTCCTTGCTATTTCACACGACAAAGAACTTTAAGCACTTTGTTATTTACCATGACTAACAAACCGACAAGTTAATTCAACTCGTGGCTTCTAAATTCTAAGATATATCAGCTATACTGAAGTGGTCAAGGCAAAGCCATTTTGTGTTCACATTATTTTGAACAAAGCTTGTTTAACTTGCTTATATCTTTCAGTTAAAACACTCACAACAGCAATGTTTCTGGTATCATGTTGGCATTGTATTATTATATTCTGAATTCTGAGTTTCACACTGACTGAACTACTCTTCTATTGACAGAACATTGAGGAGATAAAGCACAGACTTCTCTGCACCAAGCTTGAACTGATAACAGCAAGAATGGAAGCCAATGCTGAGATAAAGAAATATGATGAAACCGTGAAACGACTATATAAACTACTAAAGAAAGTTTGCCAAGAAAGAGATGAAGCGAGAGACCAACTTCAATTGCTACTACGAAATTTGCAAGCATCTACCCCAGCTGAGACAAGCAGTACTCCACAAGTTGATCATCCTAATTGCCATGCATTCCTCCCATCAACGAATGGCTCCAAGGCGTCAGAAACAAGTTCCAAAGCGTTCTCAAATCATTCATATGATTTATCCTTGTCAACCCCTCAGTCAAAGGAGAAACATTCCTCTATGGGTTTATCTCACACAAGAATAGCTGAATCAAGCAACTTGACACTACCAAAGCAACCAAATCATCAAAACAAAGGAGAGACAACAAAGGCAGGTACAGGTGCTTCAGGAGATAACGTGGTTGATAGTGCTTCTCTAGTGATTAATAAACTTGTTTGTGGGAAACCCTTGCCTAAAAAAGGTAGATTGTTACAAACTGTAACAGAAGTTGGACCTTTGCTTAACACACTTCTAGTTGCCCCTCTTCCAAAGTGGCAAAATCCTCCTACCAATAACTCTTCTACCGATACTGAAGAAAAGGCAGGTGTTAACCCAAATGGATTCATTCCAACTTCTCTAAGTTTGGCATTTCCTGGGAATTCTCATGGACCTTCTCAGATGTCTTCTGCATCCGGCTTTGGCTTATCAGTGAAGAATGAACCAGTGTCATATGTGGATATGGATTCCAATAGGATGCACGGTCATGTATTGACTGCAAAAAAGAGAAAGCTTTTGTAAGCCTGGTTGCTTTGTTGTTTGTTTCTTCCACTTTTCTTCATTTTGCATCATGATCAGGCTTGCTTCTTTTTTGTTTGTATGAGATAATAATCAACTATATGCATAAGTTAGCTTTGCTAGGTTACAGTTGCACTGCATTCTTAAACTTTTCTAGATAAATGATGTGATGTACATAGAAGTGAGACTGATGAATGAGAGCAATGATCATGATCATGGTTAGAAATAAATTATGAGTATGTTCCTTTCGTAATATTTCTCTCTTTTTTAGTCCACCCATTTAAGGCTTGGACGACATTTAAGTCATACGAAGCAATGCAAACCAAAGGACTAAAAGGGGGCCAATATAAACTATAATTTATTTTGGTCTTGAAATGTAACCATATCACAGCCTTATTACCCAGGAAGACAAAAACAAAAGTAGTAGTAAACTTGGCCCCTCCATAAGAACTATATTAGAAAAGAAATATTTGAGAAATTTTAATATGATATCTTATACAAAAGTTAGTCTTGTAGTTCGACTCGCCTTTAAGGGGACACAAACTTCACCGGAACAACTTTCAGTCAAAAAAGAAGAAAAGGAAAGGAAAAGAAAAAAATAACCGTAGCTAATAGCAAGACGAAATCTTACGTCTAAAAGAAATAGCGAAGCTTTAATTAAAGCAACGTGCGCTAAGAAAAATATACACGTACATGGGTGCAAGAATCGCTTATTTTGTACTCTAAAAATGTTATTGTATATAAATAATAAGCCATCCTCTAATATTTTACACATATACACAAACGTACTGTTATTTTAATTTTTAGAATCATTGTCATTTACCCAAGTCTAAACTATCCCCATTCTGTTTCACCAAGCTATGATGCATAGTTCTCTTTAAAAGAAAATGTTTTTGTCGTAATAACAGTATTACTATTTTATTTATTTTTGGGTCGTTGTATTTTTATTATTAGGTCCAACCATTATTACTATTATTTCCTACTTTTAGTTTGGGCCGAACTGATTTGAATAAGGCCCTAACAAAAATGACCCATTAGTCCAACAACTTGGTAGGCGGTAGCTACCTCCTAATTCGAAGGGCTCCTAGGAATCTAGTAGCATAGGATAACAAACAATAAACTGTAGGACCCACATCCTAACCATGGGTTAGTAACGTTCTGTCTTTCTCTTAACCACGGTTAAGCTCCGCTCCTTCTCTCTCTCTCTCTCTTTCCGTCTCCTTCCTTCTCTACCCATCGGTTTCACCCTCAGATCTCATCCGACCCAACGTTAGGGTTTCAAATTGGGATAATATTTTCCCAATTCAGTGTTTCTGATCCGATTTTAATCTCCGATACATTGAATTCAATTAAAAAATCCCCATGCATCGCTACGAGAGCTGTATACACAGATAAATGGAGACGCAGCGGATTATCGAGTTTCCGCATAGGAACATGGACAAGAGGCCAAGGAAGAAGCCTCGATTAACATGGGATATGCCCCCTCCCCCTCCTCCTCCTCCTCTTCCTCCTCCCAAGGTTTTCATTTCTCTCCTCTGTGCATGTTTATATGTTTTTTATTTTTTATTTTTGGTTGCATTTCACTTCACAAGCGATATTTTGCTTTTTTTTTGGGGGGGGGGGGTGTAATTTCTTGTCTGTATATTCTTTGAATAATTGACCTTGTCGTTGTTAATTCGATGCTTGCTTGAAAACTTTTTGCCTTTTCCACCCTCCCCTCTGGCTGGATATTTTTAACTGAATTAATATGATAAGAGAGATAGTTCTAGGAAGATTATCCAATCGAAGAACTATGTGAAAACTAGGAAGTCAGTAATCAAAAATGACTCCGAAGAATTGTTATTGAATGAAATGAAGTTTACAAGAAAGTTGGAATTACAAGTGGTAAAATAAGTCTCCGCAACTCTGATTATTCTTCTATTTATATCTATCAAGTCACTAACTAACTACGGCATAACAGATTTAACAGAATTGTAATTCACATCCTAATTGATTCATATCATAATATGTGTAGGAATGATTAGATTTGGTGGATTTCAACTCTTAAGACTTTTTTTCTGTTTTTAAAAAAATAAAAATGAAATTTAATTGAATTGATGTTTTTAGGCAGAGTGTAACAGGCCCCCAATATGTGGATTTACAAGCACTATGAGGTTGCGGCATATGAATTTGTTGTTTTTGGATTATTAATCTGTGTATGCTTGCAGTTACAGGTTCTTCCTATAATGTATTGCGGCCAGGAGGCTGGGAATGGAGTGGTTTCAAATCATGCTTATCCATCCATGTTTTACAGGGGAATGCCTCGCAATGGATCACCCCCCTGGAGGCCTGATGATAAAGATGGTCACTACGTTTTTGCTGTTGGTGAAAATTTAACTCCTCGATGTAGGTGATTCATCCTCATGTGAAGTCTATTGGATGTAATGTCATATTTGTTTAAACATAATTTATAATGGTCACATATGAGTGTAAATGATTATTTCCAACAAGGCAACAATTAAATGTGAGTGTGGTAGTTTGGATTAGTTTGTGAGTGTGTGGCACGTTTGCATTACTATGTTAGTTATATGCTTATGTTATACATGCCCATCTTCTCTAAAGTTGTTTTCTTTGTTATGTTTGCAGACAAAATTCTCAGTAAAATGGGTGAAGGTAGATAGTGCTTGGATTCCAACATTGTTATTTTGATATTTTTCACTTTCTGCATCTTTTATGTTAAAAGACTTTTTTTAAAAAGTTTATTTAAATTGCATTGGATGGAGCTTTTTATATGTATTCTTAGTGTGCTGGCTTAAGTTAGTTGTCTAAAATTTATGCAGGAACTTTTGGCCAAGTGTTAGAGTGTTTTGATAATGAAAAGAAAGAAGTTGTGGCAATTAAAATTGTTCGCTCCATAAACAAATATCGTGAGGCTGCAATGACTGAAATTGATGTCTTGCTGAGGCTATCCAGGCATGATGTTGATGGTGCACGGTAAGAGTTCTTTCTGGTTGTCTTCCATTATTGGTTGTAGATGTTAAATGCGATTGTGGTATAAATGGTTTTATTCTTTGCAGTTGTGTGCAAATACGGAATTGGTTTGACTATCGTAATCATATTTGTATTGTAAGTATTTATTGATATTTGTAATTTGATTAAATGACAGGAATGTCTATTCCATCATGCTTAAATATTCTGTGAGTTAAAAAACTTGCGGATGGATTTAAATGGTTTCAACAGGTATTTGAGAAGCTTGGACCAAGCTTATACGATTTTCTCCGCAAAAACAGCTATCGTTCTTTTCCTATTGATCTTGTTCGGGAGTTTGGCAGACAACTTTTGGAGTCTGTAGCATGTGTGTAGACATATCCTGTACCAACTACCAAATTATATATTATATATCTTCTACATATTTGACACTTCTATGTTGGGAGTTTAAGATGTCCATATGTAATAACTCATTAGATTATGGATAATAATAATAATATAATCTTTTAGTATTTGGAAATAACATAAGTTTTAATTGAATTGACTCAAAATAGATATTATTAGTCAATTATACTTTTAAGTCACTTTTTGCGTTTCTCATATCTGCAGTTATGCATGATTTATGCTTGATTCACACTGATCTGAAGCCAGAGAATATTCTTCTTGTCTCGTCAGAATTCATTAAAGTGCCAGACTACAAGGTATCATCTTCCTAGTTATTCTCCAACTATCCAGGTTCAAATTCATGCAGTTGCATTTTTCCTTAGGTGAAAAGTGATTGGCAAAAATTAATTCATGTTCTAGATTTGATTACAATCTTGAAACCATGGGAAACGCTTTTTTTCTCTTAATTCTCTACGCTCAACAATTAACTTTTGTTCTTTTTTTGTTGGCATATTCTTCATCTGTGGCAATGAAGTTTCTATCACGGACAACAAAAGATGGCTCCTATTTCAAGAATCTACCCAAGTCAAGTGCCATTAAGCTCATTGATTTTGGGAGTACAACATTTGAACATCAGGATCACAGTTATGTGGTTTCAACAAGACACTATCGTGCACCAGAAGTTATATTAGGTAGTTGTCATTCCCTGAAATGTATACTCAATTGCTCATTATATCTATGTTCGATTCATCATATTTTGCATCTTCTATTTTTCTGTAGGTCTTGGGTGGAACTATCCTTGTGATCTTTGGAGTGTGGGCTGCATACTGGTTGAACTTTGCTCTGTAAGTGATTCTCAGGCTAAACCTTCTTTACTTTCCTTTACTTATTATGTATAAAAGTTATAGATAAAAAAGGGTAGAATCATAGTTGTTAATAGCTCCCCTTAGCTGGGGCTATAACATTTAACAATGAGCCATAGTCTCTGGTGCTGTACTTCTAGCATGGAAATTTTGATATGATGCATGGATTGTGCCACTCTGCTATCAATAAGTTGATATAGCATTTGCTATTGCCGCCAACTGGAAAATGAAGCAACCTGTGTTTTTCTTTTTCTTTTTTGTGTGTGGGTCTGTCCTGAATCAACTAGAACCCTGTTGTCCCCTTAATTTCATCCATTGAAGTTCATTGGAAACCTTTGACGTTGCTAACAGCCTTTGGTGTTACTGGAACAGTCTATTCATTCTCTGTTCAGGTGAAAGTGACTTCACCCAGTCACACTACCTTCTTTGCTTCTGTATTGCTCTCCCTCTGCTGTCTTCTCTGTTCTGATTTCTGAAATCCTTCTGTTTTGGGCTATAATTATTGGGTTTGTAATCCTCTGTATTGCAACAGCCTGTAGCACTTGACAAGAATGACATATGTTTACTTTGAAAATGACACGTTTGTTTAAAAATGAAAGAACTTCAGAACAGTTCTTGGTAAACACTGCTGCACTTGGATGTTCTCTCTGCGGCCATCTCTGCAGATTCCATTTCCATTTGTGCTAAACGTACTACACCACTTGGGATTTAGTGGGAATGGTCTTGTTTGATATAAAATTCTTGATTTTCATCCTAAGAAGCCCAAGACATATTCTTATATACATTTAGCTCACATTAACAAAAAAATACATTTTTGCACGTCATATATGTATACATTTAACTCATACATTTTTTTCAACACTCGTGTATGATTTTCATAAGTCACTTGAGCAATTTCACTTCATATTTCCTTTTCTTCCCAGAGTTTTCTTATTCAATGTATATGAACAGGGTGAGGCACTTTTCCAAACACATGAGAACCTGGAACATCTTGCCATGATGGAGAGAGTTCTAGGGCCATTACCTCCCCATATGGTGGTCAGGGCTGAGTAAGAGCTTTTGAATTCTCTTTGCTTTTGGAAATATGCATTCTCTTTAGCCTTTCTCTGGATTTTCATGTAACACCTGATCTAGCAGTCGCCGAGCTGAAAAGTATTTTAAAAGAGGTGCACGATTAAGTTGGCCTGATAGCTCAACTTCAAGAGAAAGTTTGAGAGCAGTTTGGAAACTGCCACGTTTACCGGTATTGCCTACTTGGTGTTTGCCTGTATCTTCATATTCATACAATTATATTGTGTGGTTGTTTATTGCTTGCTACTGTTTTGAATGGCCATTGCTTGCTCCATGCATTGTGGCTTCTTTATCTTAAAGAAAATCCTGTAGATGTAGCATGTGAGAGGTTTAGATCTGTGTGCATGACAGGCTGAATTGATCATATGCTTATATGTGAAAGTACTTAACCTTGATCATGTTGGGATTAAGATTTATAGGTATTCTTTAACATTTCATTTTATTGGTGAAATTCCTTGATTTTTTGCTGTTATTCAATACCAGAAGTTCTTTTATTTTGTGATAGCTTCAAATTTTTCATGTGAAGGAACTTGTGCTCATTGTTGCAAACAAGAAACTTTTTCTTCTTTGTCATATACTATCATATCCAGTTTTGTTCCATCAGCATGACAGCACCTCAAATGGTCTTAATGTATTCCCTTACCTGTATATTTTCTCTAATATTCGCCTGCAGAACCTTATAATGCAGCACGTTGATCATTCTGCCGGTGATTTGATTGACCTCTTGCAAGGGCTCCTAAGGTATGACCCTGCAGAACGGCTTAAAGCAAAGGAAGCATTGAGACATCCCTTCTTCTTCACAAGAGATACAAAAAGATATGGTTACCCTTTATAAATACCAAACATTATGGCTCAGAGGAAAAAACACTGTTAAGAACCAATGTCATAGAAACACACTTGAAATCGTTTGATTGTTTGCTCCACTGTATAGTGAGAATTTCGTTTTGTAATATGCATTGTTTTTTCCTTTCTATTTCTCGGAAGAATTTCTCCCCCTCTGCCGGCTCCCCCTTTCCCCTGCTGGTGTTTCAGTGAGTAATTAATTGCTGCTGCTTTTCTGTCTGTTCAAAGACCAAGTTTTTAATTGAAAGCACCGTTTAATTTATCGTCAAGCAGAAGTGGTTAAAGTGGAGTCAAACTTTGTCTTCCTTGGAAATGATTGATAAAAGTGCCAGGGAGGATGAAAATGTTCATAAACTTGGTGTATTATGTGAGAATGTTTTTTTATATATACTAAAATACAGTGTTTTTAAAAAATTTATGGAAATATGAAATTAAAAATTTGTTAATATCAATCACGAAAATTTGGGAAGTTTTAAAAATTATTAATGATGATATTTTTTTAAAAAAATTAAAAAATTATAAAAAGTCATAACTCATAATGATGGATTTTTAAAAAATAATAAAAGGAATTTTAAAATAAAAATTACAGGGTTTTTTTTTATTTTTAAAATATTAAAATTTTTATCATTGATGATCTTTTAAAAATTGTCAATTTTTATAATTTTTTAAAAAAATCATATTTTAATTAATTAATTATTTATTTCATATATAAAAGTCGTATTATATAAGGATTCATCAAGTATTGAATTGAAATTATTTAAAAAAATTTACGAGAACCAAAATTAATAACAATTTTGAAAGACTATAAATACATTAATTATATTTACGTAAATTAAAAAATACGAGATAAGTTATTTGCTAATAAAAGGTTAAAATCAATTATACATAATACAATTATTATGAATAAAAATAAAAGAAAATTAAGTTGACCTTTTTTTTAACTTTTATCCTTTAACATGAATTCTTTAACCTAATCCGGCGCTAACTATTTTAGGCTCTGCCTGCCATTAGTGCCATGTTCGAGTAATTGCCGAGTGAACATCTTTGATGTCATTTTCATTCTACTAGTGATAGCATGTATTTATATTATTATTATTTTGCATAATGCTTTACTTTTAAATATATTGGGTATTTGCTCCAAGTAGTGGCCGTAAATTATGTAATCATGCAAGCAGCTTTTAGCCTTTAATAACTGAAAATGGTAAAGGTCTTCATTGCTGTCATGTCATTGCTACCTAATCAGGTTCAATATTTAAACCAAGAGAAGAGACCCATATGCGCCGACCCACCCTTGGAAATATTTCGAAATAATTTAGTTGAACGATGATGCTTATAACATTAACAAATAATATTTTTTAAAAAGTTAAATACTTGACCTTTATAATATAATATATTTTATAATAAATTTTTATTAAATTTTTTTGTTAAAATCTTATTTTATCGTTAATTCTTTCTCATGCTGAATTGAATTAGTTGAAAGATGTTGGAATTTTGTTAATATTATTTATAAATATTAATTTTAAATAATAAAATATTAAAAAATTAAATGATCTGACATATCACATGAATTAATTTTCTATAAAAAAATTAAATACAGAAATTAATTTATAACTTCTTAATATTTAAAATATTAAATTTTAACAAATTTTTTTATAAAAATATATCATAAAATGTATTATATTTATAGAGATTAGTCACATATTTAAGTCTTTAAAAAATAATATAGTCAATCTGAATTTGGATTTGCAGCTTTACCATGGTTTAGTAATGATATAATATTTACCCCTGAATTTATAATTTTATTTATATTCAAAAACCAAAATTAAAGAATTTTTTTTTTGTGATAGATGCAAAGTGCATATATATATATATATGCAGGTAAATGTAATATAATAATAAAAAATTAAATTATTTATCAAAAAATGTTTCTTTTTTAATTTGTAATCTCAAAGCTATCTTAAATATTTTAAAAGAAAACTTTTAAAAAATTAAAATAAACTGTTTTTAAAAGAATAAATTGAAAAAGTAATTAAATTATTCTTAATTAAAAGGATATATTATAACTTAATATTTTAAATAAGATATATTTTTCTTTTAAAAAATCTATATAGTGGTAAAGAATAGTTAAAATCAGCACCATCCTGTTGCCTTTTCTTCTCCCTTCTTATCTTGTATCAACTGGGAATTTTTTATTCAGGGAAAGGCAAAATGGCATTCTCCTTAGTGTTGTGGCTTGTGGAATTTTTTAGCATTATCAACTTACAAAAAGTTGATGATAGTTTCTTTGAGGAGCATCCATTGCCTACCCCTTATGGTCAGCCATATTTAACTTAAGATCAACCGTGGAAAGCTGTCATACAGAGAAGAGCTGAACCGTCATTTATTTATTTATTTTCTCTCTATGTTTATGCTTCATGAAATCAGATTACCTATTTCCATTTACTAAATTTTATTAATTATTTTTTAACCAAACATCAATTTAAATTGAAAAAAGATTGTTATGTTCAAATTCTTTTCACTATTAAAAAGAACAATTTATTCCAATAATATTAATGATAAGCATCACATCATGTATACAAGTTAGTTGATAGGAATGATTCTGATTATAACCCAATTAAGGATTTTGAATATGAATTTCATAAACACATCCAAAAAACAAACGTACGAGAATTTTGAGGTTAGTAGACGAAGGTCGTGCCACATGGGATGAAGGGTCCCACATTTCACGTGAGCAATGGCCCCATTGCCACGTAATAAGGAAACAATTGCGTTTGGTGCTTTTCACGTAGAATCTGCTCTAATCCCCTCTCCACCAATCCCCGTTGTGCTCCCACGTGGGGCTATGGGTCCCTCCACAGTCCCTCACATTCTATTCATATGTTCATGTGCCCTCTCTCTCACTGTTATTTTTATGTTCTTCTTATTCAAACATTGCCATCTACCCGTATCTTGAAGCACCTTCCTTATTAATCTAACCATTTCATCTCCTTTCTTCGCTTCGTTTTCTCTTTCTCGTTATCTTTCTTGTCCTTTCTCTCCTTTTCTTCTATCTTCTAGCCTTTTTCTTCTCCTTCCTATTCAAGCATCTAGCTTCCTCCCTCTCTTGTAATTATATTATTTTGGACTACATATAACATAACTTTAACTCATCACATCATATATTACAAGTAGAGAAAACACTTTCACTCTAAAGAATCAAGGGCCATGGAAGACTCCTCCTCTGCTGATTATATCCGCCTGGTGAGTTTTGCTTCACCTTTAAACCATGTCTCATTTACTATTTTGTTTGTTCAAATTAATATTGTTGTTTATGGTAAAAACATATCTTGTAATTTTCAATATTTCCAACGCTTTCTTTTGTTTCCTTCCCCTGGCGTATGTTTATAATTTGCAATGGGTATATGCGTACATATGTATAGGTGCACCGTTTGATAGAGGAGTGTATCCTATTCAACATGAGCAAAGAAGAATGCATGGAAGCTCTTTCCAAACATGCAAATATCAAGCCAGTTATTACCTCCACTGGTAAAGCCTTTCGTAAATAAATTTAAAAACTCTGCTCCAATTATTTAATAGATTTAATCCCATTACTGTTGTGAATATGATCACTTTAGCTTCGCTCCAAATTCATCACCTTATTATAGCTAGGAGACAATATACACAATTGGGCCGTATATACTAAAATAATTAACGTACTCATAACTGCGGACATCTACGTATGTATGTACCAAACCTTTCGGACACATACACATATATGTGTGTGTGTATATATATATATATATATATATATATATATATACTTGATAAATGAAATTGTTAGCATGCTATCATTATTTTCTCCTTTTTTATTTTATATTTTTTTTCTGGGAACCTAAATAATTGGATATCTGAATGACACACGTGCATGCATGTGATGTGGAGCAGTTTGGAAGGAGTTAGAGAAGGAGAACAAGGAGTTCTTCGAGGCATACTCGAGGAGCAGAGAAGAGAAAGGTTCAGAGAGAGAGACAAGGCAAAGGATACAAAACATGGTTTCAGATTCTTCCAAAGAAGGAGTTTAGGTTTCAGACGCAATCAAGGTTAGTCGTAAAATAAACGAAGGTCGACAAACCGGGTTGTTTATGTAATAACATCCCAATAAAAGGGTAACAGTGATGACAGGACAAAACCACATTGGACCAAGGAAACAACAACGTCGTATCATGATAAGTGGCTTCATTTGATTAGTCCAACATGTAGTAGTAGAAGTCAGCACTCTACAGTGACTAGTAGAGTGTGACATGGCATACAAATGTCATGCTAAACAATCCAGATTCGATGTACATGTAAATAATAAAAATAACTTATGATTAAATATTCTACCCATAAGGCTGTTTTTCTTCTCTATCATTTTTATGTGTACTAACTAAACATTAATTTTTCTCTTTTTTTTTGGTCTACATCCAAATACTGATCTCGTTTTGTGTAAAGTAAATATAGCAGTAGTAGTGATGTTATGGGTGTCTTTGTCTGGTATATTTGTCCCCTCGATGATATTGTGTGTAAACAAACAGAGATATATGAATTCAAAGGTTTCGTTGTCTGTATGGTGTGTTTGGTAACAGGTTTGGGTAAAATAATAATGTAGGTAGTGGTGCATCATGGACCATTGGGGTGTGGTGGGGGCTTCAGAAGTACTTCGTGTTTGGACTCACAATACCAGTCACGGTCGCAGTCGCACTCCTTTATAAGGAATCAACCGGGATTTGCCTTCGTTTCCTCATCTTTTTCGCGTTTATCTCGTGTTCTTGGGAGGGGGGAAAGAGCACGTATTTCTTTTAAAATACAAAACAAAAAACAATTATTGTAAATAAGTAAATTGATAAAAAAAAAAGTATAATTAATAATATTGAAATAAACATAACATGAGGTTAAATAGTAATATCTTGTCTTTGCTATTCATTATTTGGGTGTGTAGTGTTTGGGTATAGATTTTAATAAATTTAATTTTATATGATTCACTCTATTTAAACTAATGTAAATTTATAGTTTTGAAAATTTTGTATTTCAAAAAAGTTGTTATAAGATTTTGTATAAAATTTTAAATTTATAATTCAAAATTATAATCTTCAGATAATTTTATTGAAAATAAAAATAATTCTTTTTATATAAAACATATTATAATAAAACCATCATAATTGGTAAAATCTAAACATGCACTCAGCCGCCCATGGCTGGAACCGATTCAAGCGTGACATAAACGACAAAGTTTCTGCGTGTCTTTTTAAGTAATTTTATGATTAACAAAAATATTTTACATTTTAACATATAAATAATTAATAAAAGCTTATTTAATTTGTTTTAGCTCCTCGCTTGATATTAAAAAGTTAAGATTGAATTAAGGATCAAGCGTATGTCCACGCCAAATTAAAAATCAATATGGATAGGCTATAATTAATTAAAAGTAGAACCTGATTTGTAAAATTAGGGATGTGACATTTAACTTGTCATATTCATATCTTACATTTTCAGCTTTTATTGCTATGTAATTACAAATAACTAATAATCTAATTTTTATATTTTTAACAAATATCTTATTCACAAGAAAATGCATTACTAAAATGTTAAAAATTTTAAAACTTTGAATTTATAGAAAAAATAAAATATTAGTTGATTGCAAGTTATTTGATATTTAAATCAGCATTTTTTTAGAAATAAAGTTATTTCAACTGTAATTTTGGTAAATGTTATTTCATTTAACTGTACATTTTAAATTTTAATTAAATTAAATATTTATACATATATAGTTTTATAGTCAATATTTATGTATAATTTTAAAATTAAATCATACGTTAAAATAATATTATTTAGTGAAATTATAATTAAGTTTTGAATTGTATAAAATTTGATAAGAGTTATTCAATTACACGGGATCAAACATATAAGGATAAAATAAATTTTTATTATTTATTAATTGAAATATATCAGAATTTTAAAAAATATCAATAAGATACTAATATTCATCAAACAGAAAGCAACGTATACAATTTTTCAATAAATTTCAGTTATTAATAACAATGTGTTAAAATACTACATTATTGTCGAGTATTTGGGCTGGTTAACTTGTTTGTTTTCTGTTCAGCTGCTTGTCTTGGGTTTTGACAAGCCTCTGGCCCATATCTATGTAGATCTCCTCTTATAAGTCTATGTTCAGTTGTTGATAGTAACTGGCCCAATCTGCCATTCATTGACGACCCACCCACTAGACTTTTTCTTTTATCGACAAAATTGTGGCATTTTGAGATTTGCTTATTCGAATATATATTATTTTAAACGAGATAATATTAAGTATACAAATATTAGATAACGTGATTAGAGTAGTAAAAAATTATGCTTAAAAATGTTATTCTCATTTACGACTTTACTTTTGCACCTGTAATACTAGTAAATCGTTATAATTTTATAAGTTTTGTAATTAAGTTTACTCTTATGGCGTTTTAAAGTGTCCCAACTAATGTTGTGGTTACAATGCCGAAACTAATTAACAAGGGTTAAGCGTGTGATAAATTTCATCCTTTTTTAAGTAAAAACTTAAAATAACATGACAAACAAATTTAATAATCTTAAAAAAACATTTATTTTAATAAGTAGTCCTACAAAGCATTTTATTAGATCATGCTAAATAGTACTTTCTTTTGAATTTAACATCATAAATTTGATCAATGTATGGTTGATTAAAGTAATATATATTTAATTTTTTAATGAATTGTTACTTAAACTTTTTATATGTAAACAAATATATGAAAGAAAAATCTAACCCGTCATCATAAACTATTTTATTATTGCCTACTTAAAGTCAGAAGAGAAATTAGAATTCATATTCATCTGTGAGATGCTATGCTTCATATGTCATAAACAATTGTAAAATACAAGAAAATGCGCTGTATAATTAAATCTTCATATGCTTTACTTATCTTATAAATCTTCAAACAAATCAATTGTTTTTTATGAGTTCATCGTGAAAGACGGACAAATAAAAAGAATAAAATAGAAACTAGTTAAAAAAAAAAAAAAAAAAAAAAGCTCATTAATATATTTGAATGTTAACTGAGCACAGCAGAAAAACAAAAAAGAGTAATATTTATGGAGAAGTTTTAGTTTGAAGAATTCCAATAAATGAAAGTTGCGTTGAGGTCGTTTCCTGCAATACCCTTTTCCCTGCGTAATCAATCATTGTGAGGGTTTTAGCGTTAGCCTTTAGCATTCCCCTCTTTCGTTCGTTCTACTTGTAACTCACTCTCTTACTAAGCCCTTAACAATGGACACTCTTCCCAAATTGCGTCACTCTAACCTATCTCTAAATCACCACCGTTCATCATTCCCACTCCCCTTATCATCTTCACTCTCCTTCAGGTCCCTTCCGCCACCGCACTCTCCGTCATCCACGTTTAGGTTTCCGTCCATCAAAGCCTCCTCATCGCCGTCACCGTCAACTAACGACCCCGCGTTTCCCAAACCAATCAACGTTCCCTCACTCCCCCCTCTCCTCCAAGCCCTAAGCCCTATTTTCTCCCCCGTCGTCGAAACCACCTGCATCGTCATTGCCGCCACCGCGTTCTTCTTCATGCGCTTCCACCACAATCCTGTAATCGCCGCGCCGCTCTCTCCGCCCACGGTGGAGTCCTCACCGGAATTTGCCTCCAGCGAAGAAGCTGAGAGGGTTCTGGAAGAGCGATTGAGCAGTAACCCTGGCGACAAAGAAGCGCTTCAAGCTCTCATGGAGTGCAAGATCAGAGCGCGCAATGTTGACGGAGCGATTGAGGTTCTGGACCGTTTGATTGAGCTCGAACCGGAAGAGTGGGAATGGCCTCTGCTGAAAGCCAACATGTACATCTACAATGGTGACAACGAGCGCGCGAGGATTTTGTTCGAAGATATCTTGAAGAGAGATCCACTTCGCGTGGAAGCGTTTCACGGCCTCGTGATGGCTAGTTCGGAATCGAACGAGTCGTTGAAGGGGGTGTTGAAGAGGGTTGAACAAGCGGTGGAGAATTGCAAGAAGCAGAAGAAGGATTCGGACGTGAGAGATTTCAAGCTCTTGATTGCGCAGATCAAAGTGATGGAGGGGAATTTTTCTGAGGCTCTGAAAGCCTACCAGGAACTGGTGAAGGAAGAACCAAGAGATTTTAGGCCTTATCTGTGTCAGGGTATTATATATACTCTGCTGAAAAAGAACGATGAAGCTGAGAAGCAATTCAATAAGTTTCGCAGGCTTGTTCCTAAGGATCATCCTTATAAAGAGTATCTCGAGGATAATATGTTTGCAAGCAAGTTTTTCTCGCAGAAATTGGAGAGGGAGGGAGCAGGTGCAAGGGGCTGACAAGATCGTGTTATCACTCTTGTGACACGGTTCTACTCAGGTCTAATGAGTTTTTGTCCCTTTTACTTACTGCTACTTGGCTCTCGTAGAGGAATTCTGATGTTACTGTAGGAGATTAAGTTAATAGTTTTTTCATTCGGAATGCTGGTTCAAAATACTGTTGGTTAGATTTCTGGTGGATATAAATAGTAAGGTCATTGAAGGGAAGCTGTTTTGATGCTGAAAAATCAAATTGGTGCATCGGTTTTATTTTTATGGCATTGTTTTATTTTTGTTATAGCTTCTGACATAGTTTTGCTTCGTTTTTGTTCTTCTTTCTATCTTTTGAGTGGTAGAAGAGCCTAGATAGTGGATTCAGTACGGTAATAGAGGATAAGCATAATACAATATCCTGGGACACTTTCATGATCAATAATATATGTTTTGAAAATGGTATTCTCATTGAAAATTTCATGCTCTATATCTTTTGTACATTCTGGGTGTTATTGTTGGACGATAAATGGTTTGGAACAGAAATCTTGTTGAAATTATGTGTTTAAGTTGGAAATTATGGTTGTTATTTGTAAATTTTGAGCAATAGCTTCTTAATGTTGTTGGAGAATTTTATTTAATCATGTTATGTATGGGATTACAGAAGGACAAAATTTAGAGGCAGTACCATGAGTATTGTTGGTGTTGTTCTTGAATCAGAATTAAATTTTTTCTCAATAATATGTGTCGACCTTGAATATTAGTGTACTTATTTGTAATGCTGACTTTTATTATACATATTAACGAGATAAAACTTTAGTTTTGATGGAAGAACAGTACCAACAAAACCTATGGCACTACACTTGAGTTTTGTCCTAACAAAAAAATGAATTTTGTCAAATTGTGCGCATTCTAGTTAGGCACTTCAATAATGACTCTGCTAGCTAAGCTATGAATGATGGATTTGTCAAGAAATGAATTCTGTCAAAGGTATCTTCCACAATTTCACATGGTATTAAATTTAATTCCAGTCATGGACATTTTAGAAAGGAATAAACTTCAATGATCGATTATATTTAATTCTAGTAGTAATTCCACCTCTATATCTATTTATCTGTTTCTAGTTTCTTAGAATTAATTGTTAAACTTATTAATTTATCCTCTGTCAATTTGTTTGTTTTTGACTCTTGAACTATTTGAATAGTTTAAATATTTTAAATGGACAAAAAAAAGGACATTGATAGAAGAATAATAACTGATATTGTGTTGAATTTCTACATGAACCGATAAATAGAAACAAAATCCTTTTTTCTCTCTTTGGACAAATAAATAGGAACAGAAGTAATATTTTGGAGTATGGTCATTTTGCTTTTTCTTCAAATTATATTCAGATGATGTTTTATTTTGCAATGGAATTAGTAATATTTTTAAGGCATTGTTTTGTATGTGTTATGAGTTTTGGATGTCAGACTTTCAGGAAAATGACCTAAATGTAGCCAGTTTTGCTTGTTTAGTTGATGTCACTGAAACGTGAGTGTATAGCCAACAGGGTTTTGTTTGGCTAGCAGGGATGGATTCATTTTGTGCACAGTTAACCCATTTTTTTTGTATTAATAAATGTTATGCGAAATGGTTCCTTCATTGATATTTGCAAACCTATCCTGTCTTGATACTGCATTTTCTGATTGTTGGTAGTCTCACTGGTGTGTTCAGTCAGCTTATATTGATTAACTCCCACTGAATTGCTACTCCTCTTGCTTGGTCAGTAAAATGGTGACAATTGCCATTATTTTGCTCGAGATCTCTTAACAAAGATGACCAGAGTTCAAATTTACATTTTGATATTTTTTGCTGGCTAGGGGTGGGGTTGGGCAGCGAAATGGTATTGAAAGCAGATGTGCAGGGTTCTTCAGAATTTCTTGATTAGCACTTGGTAAATTCGGGCTGGATTGACCAAGTTAACCTTTCCCCTCTCCTGGAAGAAAGCAAGGGGAAAAAACGAGAAAATAATTAAAGTGAATAATTATGTTGTGAACCTTAGGACTGATAGTTTCACATTTACTACTTTAGTATGAATTGATGTAAACTTTTGTTTAATTTATGTCTCTAAACCCATTTTAACCTATAGTGATCGATCTTGTTTTGTATAGATCTAAAGTAGGATGGGCACTGTTCTAAAATTTTGTATACAGACTAAATAATATATATTATATACATGTAATGGTCAAAATTAAAAGAACTATTCAAATATCAGAACGGAGAAAAGAATGGAGAGTGTATGTTGCCAAAAATATTGCTGGAGGTGGATGGGTGCTGGACAGTCTGGGTGTCACACGAGGGAGAAGCGTGGGAAAGGGAAACTACATATAATTTGGGTATTTTTATGTTATGAAAAGGGGGAGGGAAATATGAAGTTTGCCCCTAAAACACTTACAAAATGGATCGGCAAAGAAGTTTTTCTTTCCCAAAACACCTCAATGTAGTGCCACAATAGCATTAAAGGCTGCTATCTTGGCCGCGAAACTATTTAAAAACGCGTTGTTATCAAACTGTGTAGCGGTCTATGATCGCTTCTCACTGCCATGCCACCACTGTACTGTGCTATCAACAACTACGGTTAAACCATATGTTATTTGCATGTAGTCTTGCAAATTTGTAAATGAATATGTAGATCTTGACGATTTTTGCATATATTTTCTCAACTGCCAGATTTCTGACTGTTTGTCTAGCTCAATGCATGTGAGGTCGTAGTTACCCAATTCTCAGGTTGTTTCCATATTGAGGTAGGCCCAGCACCCAAAAATGTCATTTATACCATATTAAATATTCGTTCAAGATACTTACAGTGCACATGCTTGCCCTATTCAGAAAAAGTTTTAGTGGGACCAAGTGGCTTGAATGAGAGTATTTGCAAGGTGAGTGAATAAGTTTGTGAAAATATCATCCCCTTTTGTGTAACCATTGGATTACTCTGATACCCTTCACGAGTATTAGTTTACTACTAATGGTAAGTTGTTTAATAGATTAAAGCATTCAATTGTAAAAATAAATATTTAGCAACTTTACCCGGGTAAGATAGCCATAAAATACAACCTTTATAAGCTCATATCTTGGTCCTCTTTGCGTCTATTCAATCAGATAAGTTGTTTCCGGCTCCACATATACATGTTTTGTCTTAAAAGTGGGTTGAGTAACCCAAGCTTGTAATTTATTTAGACAATGGGATAGTAGAGTTATTTGGTAAACAAAAAGTAAAATTTATAACTTAAAAATTAGCTTATGAAAAGTTACTTCAAGTAGTATTTAACTTATTTGAAGGTAAGCTTTCAACGTTTTTTTATCCTTAATCTTTTAAACAATTTACATTCATACCAAATAAATTTAACTATTTGAACTAGTTATACAATTATTTTACTAATTAAAGAACTTTATTCAATCAACTTTTTATAAGCTATAAATTTTTAGCTAATTTTTTAGTTATAAGTTATACATTTTCAACTAATTTTATCAAATAGAGCCTTTGTATATGTGTGACTATGGTTACACTTTCATTTTCATAGTTTATAATTTGGTTTAGTAGCTCGACTCTTTACTAACCTTGCTCATGAATTACATTAATGGGCTGGGATAAAAAAGAAATCAGTGATGGGTTTCGGAGTGAAATGAGTATGACAATAATGGAATCTTAGGTCAATCAAAGTTACTCGTACAAGTATTAAAATGGAGACTGTTTGATGGGTCAGCCCCAAATGGTCCAAAGAATGGATCAAAATATGTGGCTCGGGATGGAAATTTCAAGCTTGCATATGTTTTTGTTCCGAATAATTAAAATTTCAACGTGTTGGTCTAATTTTAATGATTTCATTACAATTTATATGATATTTTAAGGTTTTTATGCTCACCTTGTTTGTATGTAAATTGAACTTTGTATTGCGTAAATAATTTTATTTGAGGTATGTTGACCGGAGTATAAGAAAGTTCACTTGTAAAAAAAATAATAATTAAACTTGATTTATTTATTTAAGTAAATTAAATTTAAATTTTGTAATTGATTTGATTAAAATTTTGAAGGTTAACTTCGATCCATTAGTATGTTTATCACTTCTTTCTTTCTTTGTTGAATTTTTCTTTGAATAAATTTTTGTTCATTAATTTAGTGTTTAATAGATACTTTTGTGATAAAATGTAAAGTAGAATGGTAATAAAATATAAATATCCAGACAACTTAAGATTATAAATTAAAATGTCATTCAAAATAGTGATGTTTTTAAAAATATAGTCTATTAAAAATTAAAATTAGGTAAATATTACATGCGCAATTTATTTAAGTTAAATTTATATATTTTAAATTTATTTCATTTAAATAATCAAATTTAATTTTGTTTGAAATTATTTGTTTAAATAAATTCTTATTAAAATTTAGAAGTAAATTTTTTTGCTTTAGTCTCACGTGTTGCTCAAATATATAGTTGAAAATAGTTATATTTTAATAATTTTATTTGTTGTGAAATTAAATTATTAAATGATAGGTTTTGTTAATTCTTTTCACTCACAAAAACATTCTGCTTCATGAGAAGTTTAAGGCAATTCACTATATAATAAATAATTGTTTTACAAACTTTTTATTGATTTACTTTTGTACGTAATTTTCATACTTTTAAACTTAAATTTTGTTTGAGTTGATTTAAAAAAAAAATGAAGGAGGAGAATTATGTGACGATTATCCATATTTAAGAGTTTTTAAATTAGAGATGAATTGTTTATAAATTATTTAAAACTTTCATAATATAATGTTTTAAAGTTTTCTCAATTTAAAGTATTTTATATTAATTCACATTCATCCTCCCTTTTATTTATTTTTATTCCTTTTCATTTTAAACTTCTAAATAAAGTATTAGCAAAATGGTCTTTTCAATCACGTCATTTCAAATTTTTGCCAAATAAAATAGAGTTTGAATTTTAATTAATTTTTTAGCTTAATTTAAATTAACGTCTTTTTAACTTGATTTGTTTAAATTTAATGTAAGATAAGCCCGTAAAAATATATAAGAAATCAAATTTTAATTGTTTTGTGTACTATTTTTGTAAGTCTAAATTAGATTTAATGCAAATTCAAATGGGTTCAATAACTTATTTTGCAACTTATGCACTATAGTTTTTAAACTTGTGAAGCATACATCATCTACGATGTCTTTATTTTAGAAAAAGGTAAAGAAAGAAAGCTATAGCGCCCTACATAAAAACTAACCCAAATTGTTTTTGTGTTATTTAAACGAAGTACCTCTACTACTGAGTCATAGTGCTGAACTACATTTGATATCAATTGGAATATGTAATACAAAAAATTGCTCATGATGAACCATTCCTATTCTTGAGTCTTGAGTTGAGCAACTTCTCACATCTGAAATCAATTGAAATTTGAAGCACTTAAACCCCCTCCCCTCCCTAAAAGGTTTATAAGAACAGCTGGCGATGCTGGACATAGACAATGGCAAAGTTTTGTGATAACAGATAAAAATAAAGCAATAGACAAAAAAAAAAGAAAAAGAAAAAAGAGATAACATAATAAAGTTGGCCATGAAAATAGACTCAACCCAGCACACTTCCCATAGAGATAGAATATGGAACGGCGGCTGGATGTACGTTCTACAAAGTGAGTTTCTGCGTATGGAATTAAATCGTATGGATTTTACTTAATTGATGTGCATATCACAACATTATATTTTTAAAAACTGAGTATAGTGTCAGGCATGAAGCAGTATATATTCTACAGCTCTTATTTATTATCATTATGGAAATGTGACATGGTTAGCTGAATTCTCTGGTTTTCCTCCTAATTGAACTAACTCAAATGTGTATCGTTGTCTTAGGCTACTCAATACTCAAAAAGTTAAATTTCTACTATTGGTCATTCGGAGTCATGACTCATGGGCAAAAGCCCAAGGTTAATTGCAGTACCTACCGATTTTAGATCATAATATCGTCAGAAGTTCGTTACCCCATTCAAAAGTCATATTTGTTTGGACCCACTTAACTTTAATTAAGCAAGATACTTAATCTTTTATTTCTTTAGTTTTTGTCAAGTTTTAAAACAATTTTTATGGAATGATATTACATATACGATGCACTAGATCTTAACCCCTCTGGATTCATTATCAATCATGCTCGTATTTTCTTTGGTCCTCACTCTCATTCTTAATTTGCTCAATAATAACAATACACTGTCTGCATTATCAACCGTTTTGTGCCAACTTACTAGCTAGGTAAGTGTTTGGAGTAAGAAAAATTTTATAAGTTAAAAATCATGTTGAAAGAAGCTACATTTCGACAAAATGTTGAAAATCTGGAAAGAGTCTAAAAATAGGTTTAAACTTGAGAAGTATTAGAAAATTATCCAAGACCTTTTTGTTTCATATCAAAAGTACACATTTCGAGTTATTTTAGAGGTTTGTCACCTCGTTGATTTTCCTTTAAAACTACTCGAAAAACAGGACTGATAATAAAATATTCTAAGTCCACAAAACTGATGGCCTTTTCGAGGAGTTTACAAGTCCTTGACACCCAAAACTGCTCGAAAAACAGGAAGTGGTCAGAAAATATTCTAAGTCCATAAAATTTATGGCCTTTTCGAGGAGTTTTGAGGAGTTTCCAAGTTCCTAACACCCAAAACTGCTCGAAAAACAGGAAGTGGTCAGAAAATATTCTAAGTCTGCCAGCCTAGTTGAGTTCCAGAGTCTCTCCAGAATTGCTCGAAAAATAGAAATGAGTAAAGAAAATATTCTAAGTCCACAAGACCAAGATAAGCTCTCAAAACTTTAGAATTGCTCAAAAAACATAAATGAGCAAAGAAAATATTAATTTCACAAGATCAAGACAAGCTCTCAAAACTCCAGAATTAGTTGAAAAGAGAAGTTAAGGAAAAATTATTCTAAGGCCATAACACTAAATGAGCCTCCTAAATTTCTCCCAGAAACACTCGAAAGATAGAAAAAAAGAAAAGTCTTGATAGGTCAAGTCATTGCAAAATCCAAAAATAGTTACTAACAGTCATCAACATTCACCACTACGCAAAGGAGATCGTGGGCGATAGCGGTTACGAAAGAAGCTTCAACCAACAACACGATCACAAACAATTGTGGATAATGGGCATCAACAGTTGAAGGTAGTTACTAAGAAGTGCCCGCAAAAGGAGGAGAACGGTGGTGGTCTTACTGCCTATAAATACTCCAAAGTGTCATTTTACAGAGGATGACTTTTTGCACCCTGACATCGCACCTAAAATTCTCTGCACGCTGAAACCCTGCACCGCGGCTGACACCAACTACAAGGAGACTCACAGTGGCCGTTGTCCACTATTGTGAGAAGTCGTACGTTCACGCATCTTTACATTCCTGCACATTTATCTTTCTGCAGTTTATTTTCAGCTTCTTTGTTGGCTTTTGTTCATCTTTCTACAAATTGCTTTCTATTTAATACATTTATGTAAAAAATTTCTATGTTGTGATTCAGTTTTACACGTTTTATATTCACTATTCTTGCTAAATTGTTTAATTTGCGATATATATTTTACTGTTATGTTAACAACATACTTAAAATAACCCAAAGAGGACCTAATCTAGTTTTTAGATTAATTTTTAGATTATTTATTTACAAACTGTCATTTTTTACTGTAAATTGTAAGCCTTTGATTTGTTCACTGATCTAAATTACTCACAAACGTCATAATTATGAAGAAACAAGCGGGCAATATACACATATTTTGTTCCTAAGCTGTATTGATGAAGATAGTCTCTACACGAACAATCAAGGGTGGGGCAGCTTGTTGGTTCAAAACAAAAAGATGGTGAGGATGTTTGTAAAAAAACTTCCATACACAAGTCACTATTTAACCTAGCTGAATGATAATATTTAAGACAAATCATATATTTAGTATATCATTAAGAGTTTGATTTTATTGCATTGTCAATGTAAATATTTTAATACTTTCAATCAATCAAAATATATCATGAATATATTTTTATATTAATTATGATAAAAATTAATGACTTTTGCTTGTATAAAAATATAAAGTTAAATAATAATATTAAAAAAATGAAACATAATAAAGATAAGTTCTGATTCATGATCTTATGGGTGGAGGGGCTCTAGACCGTATGGATTTACATGGGTCAAAATAAGGCATTTGATTGAACTCATTAAAGGGAAGGAACACTTGTAGAAGCTCGGAATCATTGTGATGCCACATACTAATGCTTTTGGCAACTTTAATCTCAAGGTGTTGGGGACAACAATAATTTTTTATCTTTTTTTCTGTTATGATGTCTTTTTCTTTGGATCCAATGAGGCAACACTGAAACCAAAGACGCCCCTCCCCCAACCATAAAATGTGAACTTACGAAGCATTGTGGGGTTAGAGTCGTCGCACATTGCGCTTACAAGCCCAATGCCAAAACCCAGTCCGGTCCCATAGTCTGTTAACTAACACTTTTTAGGTTGCCCTTGTAATGTTTGTCTAATAATTCTTGCTTCTTTAGCAAGTCAAGAGTTTGCATTTAAATGACAGTAATTGAATTATTGACAATTTAACTTTTTCAAAATCTTAATTAACATATATAAAGACACACATATAAATTAATTTGAATTATTTATATTAAAAAGTGTGAGAATTAATATTTAACATGCCAATAATACTTTTGCATAATGATTGGATCAAAATATTTTATTGATTCCGCAATCACTCTCAAAAAGTAAAGCAAATGAAGAGAAAAGTAAAAGGATAAAGGTGTGGAGGCATGCACCAGCTGCCGAGTTTGTTGTTTGCCTTTTTGACTTGTCTGCGTTCGATTCAAATGTTTATCGAATAATACCTCTATGCTCCCAATCTCTTAATAGTTTCTTGTTCTTCCAACATTACGCACGTAGACACTAATGTAAAACTACTAAGGTCAACAATTCTCATAAGCCATAGATTCTTGGACATCAACTTCATCGTACTTTGTTTGTGGCAGTAAGAGTTGAGTAAATAATATAAATTAGCAATTTGCATACACACAATTATTGCATGTCTTTGACTGTCAATGACTTTGTGGAGAGGCATGAGGCAACCTCAAGCAAAATCGCGTCTGTCCCAATAAATTTTAAAATCATGTTTTGCTTTGTGGGACTCTCAGCTATTCATTACGGTCAAGACTATGTAGAGTGTACCCTTTTGTCACAAATAATTAAATTTATAATATACGCCAAATCAAAATTTATAGTTGCTGCAACTTTTTGGTTGCAAAATTTATAAGCTTGGAAGTGAAAAAGCAAAGTAAATAAAAAAAGCTCTAAAAGTCTTCTACATAGCTAAATTTGTGTCGTGACGCAGAGATGGACAAACCCCTGCTACGAGTGATGACTAGTACCTCCCAAAAACAAAAACAAATGAGTACCTCAACTAGACAAGAACGCAACACAAGAAAACAAAACTGATGAGATTTTGGCTCTCGATCTATGAGTATAATTAAGTCACTAATGCATTCAAAATTAAAAGATTATTTTGCTTCGAGACATGGATTCAATTATTAATCTTTTAGTCACCATCCTATGTTTTAATCAACTGTAGCGAACGGTGCTAAAAACAATGAATTTTGTCCAATTCTTTAAAGATGCCTAAAATATGATTGTTGATAGAGCTGACGTATAAACAACGAAAACACGCTCAACCGTACAACAAAATAATTAAGGAAGAGTAACAACACGTTAGGACATAACCTTTGCAGCATGGAAACACATTCGTAGTAGCCAATTTTTTAACTTATATTTTGGAGTGATGTAACTTTCACTAGTATAATTAATACTCAATTATGTTGGGTCAATTAATTTGGATGAAAGATAATTAAAGTCGTATAATTCATCTTATTTCTTGAACGATCTAGAGTACATAATGCATTAAATAAATGAACATAGCATATACAGTAAGCTGAATATAGACATAAATATTAAAGTAAATAATTTTTTTTTAAGGTTGGAATGAATGGAAATGTGCCGCCAATATAGACATAAGATTAATCATGTGGGAACAATTGTCGTTGTTTATTAATTAGGTACATTTAATTTGAAGTTCGAACTTTGGTGTTTTCTATGAGGATAAAAATAGATAGAATAAATCATGTATCACACAAATTGAGTTGCAATGAATAAAACAATAACAAATAAATCTTCACGAGCGACAAAAGATTGTATAATTTTGTTTACTAAAATAGACAATAAGTGAATAATATTACTTAACCATAACTCAATATCATGTTACAAAAATAAAGCGAAGTTATGAACTGCAGCTCTTGCTATTTCTGGGTTTTAACCCTGAATCCAATGAATGGAATGATCTTAAAATTTACTGAGCAGAGGAAGAAGCAGGTCCAGTGTGACATGTAAAAGGCCTCACAACATATGGAGTAGACACGTGTTGCGTAGCATGGAAAGAGTATCACACTCATACTATACTACTAGTTGCCCGCGCAGAGGTTGAGTCTCCGGTGTCAGTGTATCGGTATTTGAAAGTTCAAAAAATGAACACACCATCCATTCCATTCCATCCCATCACACCTCACTCTCTCTCTTCACGTTTCACCCCACAGTTTCAGTTTTACACTACAGACTAAAATCAAGATCTGCATTTTCTCTTCTTTCAACTGTTCCTTTGCCTTCATTCCTTTTTTTTATTCTAATTTCAGTTTTCTGAGCAATGCATCCAAGCCCTAGGGTTTCGTGGCTCACTCTTCTTCCTTGAACCTTCCCGATATTCTCTTCACCTGCTTTCGTCTTCTTCTGTTCTTCTTCTTCAACTTCATTTCAACTACATTTCTTACTACTTTACCTCTCCAGCTTTGGACCCTGTGCTTTCAAATGCTGAGACCCAAAGGTCGTGGATTAAATCCGTTCTGTACTCTCACTTTTTTTTTCCTATGATGCGCTTTTAACTGCTTTCTAGCTAAGCTTTTGCTTAGTGCTATAGGTATAATGTTGTTTCATTTTCATCATGAATTTCTTAGGTTATGATGTCTTGTGATTTACGCTGCTTCGCCTTTGATCATTTTCCGAAGCTTTTTCTTCGTTGTCTTTATCTCATGCGTCATTGAGCATGAGGTTCTTCTTCTCATACTCTTCCAACTACTGCTTTTATCGTAGATTGTGACTGTGAGAAGCAGTGTGACGTGTTTATGTAATTTCAAACAATTTTGGTTTTCACTTCTTAATTAAACCCGTAATCATACCCGCTCTTGAATCTTTCGTCCTAATTTTGTTGTGGATTTTTTTTTTCAGGCAGCAAGCAGGTTCATAGACATAGAAAACTTCAGAGTTTTCCTTCTGATTCTGGTTCTTGCGGTGGTGGAGTTGCACATGAAGATTCGGTGGGTTTTTTTTTTTCCTTTTATGTCTCTGAGCACTTGGTCATGATTTACTTAGCTGCATTTCAGAATCAGGAATCAAATTTCCCTAATTGAATATATATTATTATAATCACGTTAGCATATTGAATTACCTGTACCGTACGTTATATATATGTAATTGTCTATTGTCTAATAAAGAAGAAACAGAGAAAGTGACAGTTATGGGCAAATGCGCTGATTTTTTCAGAACTCATTTCAATTGGGATGGAGATCTTCGAAACAACCGTTTGGAACTCCAGTGAAGAAGTTATTAGCTGAAGAGATGTCCCGAGAAACTGAATCCAAAAGAAGACCTCCTGGTGTCATTGCCAGATTAATGGGTCTTGACGGGCTTCCGTTGCAGTTGCCTGCTATTAAGCATCATAAGGTTTTGTCTGAAAACAATCTAAAAAGGACAACACTGGTGGGGAAAACTCGAAGTAGTGGTACAATATATGGCAGTCGATCATCTAGGAGAAGCTCAAAGAATCAGCAGGAGTTTAAGGATGTCTTTGAGGTCTCAGAGATCCCAAACGTAGAGAGCTGTAGGTATTCGTCACAAGGGTCTGTGCACTTAAAGATCACTGACGATGAAATGTTATTCATTGAACAGAGGTTCATGGATGCCAAGCGCCTTGCAACTTATCAGGATTTACAGTCTTCGCAGGATTCCCATGATACACTTGAGATTCTTGACTCTAACAATGATCATCTGCAAAAATACTTTAAGCGGCCAGATTCTTTGTTTGAAAAGCATTTAGATGATCTGCAAGCTGCCCCTTTACAACCACACTCTGGTCATGTTGAAGCTATGAAATCTTTAGATATAGAGAAATGTGAACATGGTGGCTTCAGCTGGAAGTTGGATAGAGAGACAACAGGGTTGAATTACAATAGATCTCACCATAAGCATCATGATGGGTATTCTTGCCGGTCTGCCAGAAGACATGCAATGCATAGTTCACCAAAATCATCAAAACTTCAGTTTAATGGAAGAGACAAACCTGATGCAGTTCCAACAAAGATTGTAGTATTAAAACCTAATCTTGGAAAAATGCAGAATGCTGCCAAAATTGATTCATCACCTTGTTCTTCACATACTTTTCTGTTAGGGTGTGGAAAGAATGTTGAATTTTCTGATGTCAGATTTAGTAGGGACATTGAACTGAATCAAAAGCAAAAATTGCCTGATACTGCCTGGCATTCAAGGCAAAATTCTTTGGAATCTAGAGAAATTGCAAAGGAGATCACTAGCCAAATGAAAAATAACTTGAATAATGGCTCCATGATATTTTCATCTTCTAGATTTGAAGGATATACTTGGGATGATAGCTCCTGTAGTTTTTCTGGGAACGAATCTCCTGAGGAATCAGAGATAAGTCCTGCAACTTTGGGAAAGTCATTTGACATGAGTAATCTACCACCATCCCATTTTAGTGAATCATCTGTGAGTAGAGAGGCAAAGAAGAGATTATCAGAGAGGTGGAAAATGACGCTCAAGTCTCAACAGAGCCAATCCATCTCCAGGAGCAGTACGTTGGCTGAAATGCTTGCTGTCCCTGACAAGGAAATGAAAAGAACTAATTATGACAGCATTTCTTGTGGGGAAGGTTTACGAGATAAACTTGCTAGAAATGGTAAACCTTCTGGGTGGGTTGAACCATTGGGTATCAGCAGTAGGGATGGTTGGAAGGATGGGTGTATTGGAAGTTTGCCAAGGTCTAAGTCTCTTCCTGCTTCATCTACTACCTTTGGAAGTCCCAGAACAATCTTGCGCCATGAAGCACTTCGTGATGATCGATTTATGATGCCAAAGGAAACCTTTAAACGGGAAAGGAAAAAAGCAGTGAAATGTCTTGATCAAAGACAGCGTATGAATACCAGAAGCTCAAAATCTGGTCACAAGAAGTCTTGGTCTTCTCATTCCTCAAACATAGGAGAGGATGAATCTTCCCCAGACTTAAATACAATTCAACATAAAATGAAGATTTATCTTGAAGAGGATTTATCCAAGCAAGAAGTGCTGGCTGCTGAGATCCTTAGAGATTCAAGTACTGAAGATGTTATGGATGTGGCAAATGAAATAGCAGATGGGTTATCTGACTCTTCTAAAAAGGTGCTTCTTGATCTTGAATTATTTTATTTTAATCTAAGGTGACAAGGATGGTGTAATATGTGACAACTTTGTGCTAGCTATTTTACATTAATATATGAAACCTTGTCATTTGGTTAATACTTCACTGTGTATTTGTGAAAAGAATTTCTTTCATTATCACTTTTCCCTCATTTCTTCCATCCGCCATTCAAATAGAATCAATTTACTTAGAAAATGTTAATGTTTGTGTGATTGTTAAGATGCCAATGCTGTAGTAGTCTAGTAGGCTCATTTCCAAGACACTGTGTTACGTGAAAAGATTTTTTTTTTTTTTTTTTGGTCTCAACAAGTCCAATTTCACTGGCCTGTATTGGTAAACAAACTTTGAAAGTCAACTGAGTATTTTTATTCTTCCTACTTGACGTGTTGAAATATTTCAGGAGCTATCAGTTGGGTCTTCCAGTAGAAATTCATTCCCTGTTCAACCACCTGTACCTGGTCTTGAATCTTCATGCTGTAAAGATGTGGATCAACCCAGTCCAGTCTCAGTCCTAGAACCTTCTTTTACTGATGATTCATCACCTTATTCGGAATGTTTTGAAAGTCTCAATGTTGACATCCAAGGTAACTGCATCAGACGTTTATTTGGATTACTCTATAATGTAATGCTTAGTCTTCATTCTCTTTCCTTTGTCTAGTTCCTGATTTATTTCCTTTTAGTTCCTGCATCCTAGTTGTCTGGTGTTTGCTCACTTTTTCCATGAACTACCAGAAGGAGAAATGCTACCAATACACTATTTCAAACACATTCTTTACTGTTAACTAAAAATTATTGTAAATTACAAAAATCATGTTTCACTCTTAATTTTAATGAGACTCGCCTATGCTTTTGTAGTTTTTAGTTGACGATGTGTTAAAAAATGCGTTTTTACACTCCTCATGACAGAAATAGTTAACTATGATGGTGCAGTAGTATATTCACTTCATCTGTAATGTATTCAAGAAGAAAATAGGATTAGCGCATAATAACTTACAGTTACATGATAGGCTGAACGACTAACTGAAAAGCTGTATTTTGTGTTCTGCCTTTGTGATTTGCATTTGCACTTGACAGTAATATTTTTTTATCTATTTAGATTTTGTAGAATGGAGAAAGTGGAGACCAAATGCAGTTCCCTGCATATCCTAATTGCATATTAGTTTAAGTGAATTTACTATTTAACATGGTGTGTTCAATAAAAATAAATAAGAATGATATTGTGCGATTATTTATTTTTCTTGGATGATGGTATTGACATCCTTTTAGCTTCTAATGAATTTATCATTTAATGAATTAAAATTGGATTTGATGGTTTACCGATATTCCTAATGCCTTCTGACTTGATAGCTGCAGTTAAATAATAGATCTTCAATGAGACTTCAACCTTTTGTCAATTACAATGTTAAACTTGAGAAATGATTGATTGGCGTCCTTTCCAACATATATCTCTGAAACTTTTTCCTTTTTTCTGATTCCTTGATTTTATGTACATTTCTTGTATTTAGGGCTTCGAATGCAACTCCAGTTGCTGAAGTTGGAATCTGAAGAATATGTGGAAGGATCCGTGCTTACTCCAAGTGATGAAGATGGAGGAGAAGCATCTAATGGAATTTCAGAAGACAACGGATTAGGTAAAACTGAAGATAGCTGGGAGTCTTCCTACATGATTGACGTCTTGTCTGAATCTGGTATAGATAGAGCTCAGCCTGGTGCTTTTTTGGAACTTTGGCATTCTCCGGAATGCCCTGTTAGTCTTTCAGTGTTTGATGAACTTGAAAAGAGGTACTCTGATTGCACTACATGTCCAAGTTCCGAAAGGAGATTGCTTTTTGACCGTATAAATTCAGGAATTATCAATATATACGAGCAATTCATGAGTGCACAGCCATGGGTAGGCCCTACTACAGCGACAAATATTTGTACTAAATTGATTAAAAACGGGCTCCAAGACTCTCTGTACAAAATGCTGGGGTGCCAAGGAAAATTAAAGGATACCGCACTGGGGAAGGTGCTGGTAAGCGAATTGCAGTGGTTGAACTTAAGAGATGACGTTGATGTAATAGCTAGGGAAGTTGAGAGATTGTTGCTAGATGATCTAGTGACAGAGATAGCCAGTACATAGACATTTTGCCCCTGACCATATTTGTTCTAGGACTATGCCTAAAACATTAATCAAGTAGTAAAATAGCAATTTCACAAGACGAAATAAAGGATCATTCACTTTTGCTTCCGACAAAAAATGTGCATGCGAATCATCCGACAGAAAATGGAGGAAAGCTTGCTATGGTGGCTTTCAAGGTTGCATTTTGTACTGTGAAATACTGTTCACACTGAAACATTGGGGGTAAAGGTTTAGGGTTTAGGAACATAAATGGGAGTTTATTCGCCAGCTGTTTTTACCTTTGAATTCCCAATCATATGCCAAATGAAAATGAAACGATTCACATCCGAATGAGAACAATTATAGTGCAAACATTAAATCAACAAGTCTTACTTCCACGATCTAAATTTAGTTTCAGTATTTGAAACTTCAAATATAATTGATACGTAACAAGAAAGGGATTGATTCTCTTCAAAACGATCAATGGCATTGTCTCGACAGTCTGCTGCTAGCCTATCTTTGTGGTAACCGAAAGGTATTTTTTGAAGGCTGATGGTCAAGCAACTTTTTTTTTGGTCTATGCGCCACTCACCCTTCGGCTTGCCAACATTCCAACTTCAAGTATTCGTTCTATTTGTTGACCAGGAAAAAAAGTATTCATTTTGTTTTGCTTCGTAGCTTGTTACTACGCTCACTTAGAAAACCTAACTCTGCCTTGGATCTCCGTGATGTTTCTTTGTTGCAACTAAGCTGATGACTGATACACATCGTTTTTTATCAGGGGAAATTTTATACATCTAATCTCTATTGTTTAGTTATTCATGAACCAATTGGTAAATAAAACAAATGCTATACCTTTTTAACGGGCCAAAACTGAGTTCAATTCAACGTAAAAGCGTTAGATAGGGTCTTGGTGAACGGGAGCATTGTCAGAATAATATAGCCCCTCAAGCCCATTTCATTATGAGACGTTGCTGAGAGCCTCCGCTCATTATTGACCAAAAATATTAAAAAGAGCTTCCGTTCATTATAAGACAAAAAAAAAAAAAAAAAAAAGAAAGCCTCCGCACATTCTAGAACACTGAAACAGAAATATTTAGAACTTCTCTGGCCATTATAAATTCAAAGCATTGCAACACCTTCGTCAGTATACTACCGTCACTAATTAGGGTTTTGAGCTCTCTCTCAAGAAAGCTGCGCGATCTGTGCCATTTTACTTATTTTCTTTTATGTAAAGTGTGCGCTTCTTGTTTTCCCGTCCGTCCTCTACGTATTCCCCTCTTTGGTTTGGCAAATGATGATAAGAATCTTATCCTACACACCGAAGTTACTGTGTGGATTTCAAACTCCGCTTATTATCTGATGCCCTATTCTTTGTAAATTGCAACATGTTTCATCGTTTTCGTAGATTAGGCTATTTATTTTTCTTCAGATAAATGATTTGATATGCGATTTTCTTCTGCTTTAGATAAACGGATTCTGTCCTTCTGTTTTTGGTTTTGATGTGTATGTATTCTGCTATGATGAGTTGCAAAATACGTCTGCAAATACGAGATTTCTCGATGAGTCTGTATGCTCTCTCTGAGCGGAATGCATCTTGTTTACACTATTTTCGTTTGATCCTCACTTGATAGTGAGTATTGCTTGATCACAGTTAAAGATTATAGGGGTTTTTATAAATTTGAAGAAGAGGAAGAACCATGTCTATAAACTTAATGCTGTGAGTTGAATGAGACCTAGAGATAGGCAAATATGATTCATGAAAATTATATCTAGACTTAGAATGCGATTAGGTGTTTGATAGATGACATATGATCTTAACAAAGCTTAATTGAATTTGTACAGGCATATTGGCGTTTACGCGGTATTTTGTTAACATATAGATGAATTAAGTCGAACATTCTATTAATTCTTATATTGCTTTTACATTGTTTTAGTATCCATGTGTTTAGGACAATCTTTTATTTTACTCTTTTACATGGTTATCTAGTATTAGTTGACAATTTCCTATATGTATATTAAGGAAAATAGAAGACTATGACGATAGTGTAGCTTTCAACAATTTCGTGATATATTGCTATCTGAATGACCATCGAAAACAAAAACAGAAAATAGATCTAGACATTTTGGCTCATATATATTAACAAGGATTGATTTTGGTTTTATCTTAATACAGCACAATTTTTAAGGATGTTAGAAAATTGAAGAATATTATAAATTTTAGAAATTAATTTTTGAATTGAAAATGAGCAAATGATTGTGAGCAAGAAATAAGTTAGGTTATTTAATTATAAGAATATTTCTATTTTATTTTCTAAAAATGATTTTTTAAAATAAACAAATATTTAATTTAGTACTTAAAAATATAAGCTTTAATTTGAAAAAAATAAATTTGAAAAATATCTTCAATGCAAATTTTGAAAAATTTGTATGAAGAAAAAACATGACAAGGGTAGAACAATACATTGAATTGGCCTTAGGCATCAAATAGCCCTCCCTAATTATTTTAATAAATTACAAGAACTCAAAAAAGCTAGCCTTCATGCCATCCTCAATTTGTATTTATGTTGTAAAAGAATTTCAAAATGCTTAGTTTAAAGACGATCCATCATGTAGCTGAAGGAGAGAAAAAGCCAAGCTGGTACGTGCGTTCTCTTTCCCACATCATAGGCACCTTGGGAGCTAAGGATTCTCCGATATTTGAATCTTTGCCACCACCGTAACGAGTTTTTGGGTTCTTCTTTTCTTTTTTTCCAACTAATATCGTCCACCCACTTAGTGCATGGTTGTCGCGTTGCAATAGTATATAGTAAATATCGTTCATAATGTAAATGAGATTTATATATTTTAATTAAAATTGCTGTCAGTAGGAGTGGTAAATACTGAACAGGTAGTCAAAATCATTACGTAAATTATTTTTTATATTCTTCTAGTAAACAATTTTAAAATTTATATTTTTTCATGCAAAAGAAATCCACTTCCTTTTTTTATTCTTGATTTTTGGCGAAATATATGCTCAATCTATATATGCTGTAGCCACCAACACTTTAGTCTTTGGCTGAATGTGGATTGGGGATTTGATGCGAACTGGACGTGTAATATCTTAACGGGACCATCTACTTACAGGAAAGAATCCAGATCCGGCCGAATGCTTAATATCGGTAAAAAGATGGGTCTGTCATAAAGGAAACCTCAGGAAGTATCCCTCCAAGGAACAAAAAAATAAAAAAATTATTGCGTGGTTGATTTATTAATCGTTGCACATTCCTTGACATTTGGTGCTAAAATACGGGTATAAAAGTGCTAAATTCTTTTTCAATAATATTACAAAGCTAGGTACTTTAAAGATGAAAGTGCTAGAGGTCATATTGATATCCACATCCCTTATGAAAATGACAAGATTTAGCTTGATGACCTGCATATAAATCTTACGTATGGGGAAGAGATATATAAATAGTTTATTGCTCTAGGGATGATTAAGATTTCCCAAACGCATCTCTGCGGATTGGAGGTGAAAAGTTACTCATCTTCAAGAGAAAATAAAAAAATAAATATATCAACGGAAAGCACAAAGCAAGGCAGTATAGTGGCAAAACCATGGGGAAATAAATAAACAAGAGAACGGACATTTGCTGAACAAATTTCAAAGTATGATAGAAATTTTCTTTATCTTATGGAGCAAGTCACAGTTTACCTACAAGCACCAAATGATTGAATCTAACTAGTGTGGCAATTTTATGCTTATCAATGATTTATAATCGTGCTTTTTGCCACGAATCTCATCAATGTTACAAGTTACTACACTATTGTTATTATGAAAAATACATCTCTAAAATAGAGCCATTAATTTGACGTACCAGCTCATTGATTAATGATTTTTAACTCATAATCGTGGCATTATATCATTGACACAACAAAGTTTAAACATTTTTTGCTATAAAATTGTGACCCTTGCTAAAATCTAGTCTTGTTAAATTTTTTTCAGCTGGTTTATAAAAGGATCGGGTCTTATGCAGCTTTACAAAAAGTAAATTTTCTCGAGAGAAATTAGACCAATCCTTATACAAAAATAAGATTCCTTCTAAATAAACTCTTAATATCTCTTCAAAGCCACCGCTGCACTTGCTAACATTTGTATTTACAGTAAATAAATTACTACCCAATACAAGAGCTCAAACCTTGAAGTTATCATTAGAGTATTAGTCTCTCAGTTATGTCCGTGGAAATATCTGGGTAAAGAAAAAAACAAAACAAGTACATGTACCATAAAACAACACCAATGGTAGCTCTACTCTTCAATTAGATCAAATTTGTTTTCTTTGTTTCTGTGGTACCGGATCCAACTGCTGAAGCAGGTTCTGGCCAAAATTGTGCAGTCTTAACCTTCGATATGCTTGCCAATACGCTCAGAGGAGTCACGTCACCAACAACTGTAACCTTCTTTGCCGCAAAGTCTATGTTGAAGGACGTAACTCCTGTCCATATAATTAATTAGCAATACAGGAAATGGCTTCAATGTTAAACGTAAACTGGAAATAAAATAAAATAGAAGGGGTCCATAACCAATGTCTTGTATGCTAAATATTCTTCAACACCATTCTATTTGTGGTTTGAAATAGAAGTTTTTACTATAGTGACTTGCATACCTTGCATTCTAGAGAGATGTTTCCTCACTTTCCCTTCACAACCTTTACAGTGCAGAGAAACCCTCAATACTACAACCTGCAACAAAATTCATTCAAATCACACTCAACAGCGTTTGCGTTCATAATATGCAAATATTGTTAAATGTTAAAGTTGTGCATTTTCTTAATCATTCCACATACACATGCTGCCAATACAAACTTGCTTATTCCTGTTCCAGAGTTATACTTATACCAAAAATAAATAAATAAAAGAAGAAAACTTGCTTATATACACCTGGTTTAAGATTGAAGAATCCTAATTAAGTGAGAGGCACGGAGAGATAGGAAACTAACCTGGTCTGAGGAAGCAGTTTTTGGAAGAGAGGAGCTCGAGGGTTTACATGAATGGTCGGCTTCTTCTTGATGAAGGACTTGAGCTTTTTTGTTATCATGTTTGGCTAAAGCCAAAACAGGATCATAATCTGATACAGCATCCAAGGAAGGCGTTTCACCAAGCAAATATCTTGTTGAACCAGGAGGAGTGAATAAATCAGAAGGTGGATTAACCCAACTCCTCTTCAGAATGCTATCAATTGGTTTTGAAGAGTAATTGTTGGTAATATGTTCAGTCAACTTTTGTGCTGTGCTTTTCTTCTTCTGATCATGACCCTTTGTTGTATTTTTCTTTTTCTGCCCACTTGGCTTTGAAGTGGATTTCTTCTTGGCCTTTTGGAGATCATGTAAAGGTTTGGGGTCTATGGGTGGCTGAGGAGAAGAACTAGAGGCAGTGAGGTCTCTCAAAGGGGTTCTTCTTGGATCAGTGATTATGGGGTTGTGGCGATCAATGGCTCTCCCCCCAAATTGAGTGGTGTTGGAAGAAGAAGAGGGTTGATCCATGCTTAGACATATGGCTGTTGAGGCCTGTGATGCACAGAAGATATCTATGCCTTTCATTTCTAGATGATGAAGACTAAGAAGCACTTGTGGTTTTGAGAATCTTAATTGTAGCAGAAAGAAAGAGATAAAGAAGTTGAACAAGAAGGAAGGTTGGTAATGACTGCTTTTAAGCTTCAATTGGGAGTGAGGTTGAGATAGATAGATAGAGAGATAGGAATAGAAAATGGAAATTTCAAAATTCAATCAGTTTCTTGTTTAATATGTGGAAACAAAAGTAATTTGAGTGGGAAGGAAATGTTTAAACTTTCCCAAGACTAGCAAGAGTTTGGATCTTTGTTATAATAGTTTACCAACAAAGCCAATTGCTAGTACACCAATGTTACCGTGGGGACCTCAACCATAAATAACTTTCTTGAAACAAGATTTACATATCAAGGGTGTTACACATGAGTTATTCATAACCGCATGGCATGTTGCACGTGCATTAAGGTCACACAATAAAAAAATTCATCAATACAAAGGTTGTAACCAAAGGAAGAATGTATTGAATGGTATTATCCTTACTTATGTTTTGCCATTCATTCTATTAGAAGGGCAATGGGAGAGAGTGGAAAGCGCATCAATTTTGTAGTAAGGCAGAGCAAATTAGAGTGATCTTTATGAGATGCAACCAACATTTCTATTGCTTTAAAGGATGACAATGATGTACAATAAGTGCACTGATTTTGCCTTAACTCCTTGCTTGTTTCCTGTTTGAAAGAAAAAAACTATCACACTCACTTGAAAGCACCTCAGGTGAACCTGTTCATTTTTCTTGGGTTCACTTAACAGCTTCTATGTATCTTGCAGTATTAAATATGTGAACCTGTTGCCTAATATTCAGACAACTCTAGTTCAAGTAGTTTGGATCCCATATTTTCTCTATAGCAAAAGTTATTTCACACCCATTTTTTTTAACATGAGATAGGTGGAGAAAAGAAATAAATAAAAAGAAAAAGTAAGAGATATAAAAAGTAAATATAAAAACATAATTGTTTCTGCATTATATTAGATTATTCTAGTTTAACATGTAGTTCCAAGTTATGAGTCTCAATGAATGTAATCATCTTAAATATTGTTTTTCATATGCAATAATATTAAATATGCATAGAGTGTTTTATTACTCAGTTATTTTAACAAATTTGAAAATAAAAATAATGTTACTCAGGACTATATACTCTATCAGATTTTAACAGTGGAAATAATAAAATCGATTAAAATAACATTGTATGTGCATACATTCCTAGACATGGTACTTTTCTATCTTTTTGCACGGGTGTCTAAATGTTTGTGATTATTATTGCCCTCACAATATGATGATAATAATAATATATGATAATTATTTCTTAGAGTAATCATTTGATGCGAGTGCAACATATGTATTCGGGTGCAGACATGTTTTGGAATGACGTGAAGTTGCAGCGACATGAATTCCCATTTTATGCGCTGGCTTGAATTGAAAGGATAAAAAAAATCGGAGGCACAAATAACTATAGCACTGTGAATTTGGGTAATTTTCTCTGTTGGATTGTTGTGTTGGGCATGGCCTACAGGTTCAGTACTATTTACCCACAACAACTTCTGGAACATTGAAAACATGGTCAGATGAAACAGAGCAGCCATTGAGTGCTTGCAGTAGTTTCATACTTTCATGTCATAACTTCATTTAGATGACTAATCGTAATTTATAAAGAAAATCAAAGTGTATGATACCAATTCACTGCAGAGTATACCCAAAAGACACCAAATTAAACATGTTTAGTGCCGTGCAATGATTGTTGATGCTCATAAGCAAAAAACATCATCAAGGAAAGTCACTGCCACTTTCAATTCGGTGAAATTCAATATATTATAACAATCACGATGGTCTTTCCTCAAAGAGGCTTAGTCAAAGTGAAACTCATTTTTTTCTTCTAAATTTATAATCTTTTCATGTTAGTGTTTGTTTGATATTGAACAAAATTAATTTTAAATATAAATCGTTTAATATTTTAAGATGTGTGTATAAATTAATATATTTACATATTTTTAATGTATATTTTCCATTGAAAAGTTCAAAAGTTGATTCTTCACTTTAAAACAGACAATTTGTTAGTTTGTGTAATTGAGGCAGTTAATTTAGATCTAACTAAGCTACTTTTAATTTATAAAATAAAATAATTTATTTTTCACATTAAATTTTATGGATAAAAAACTTACTCAAACTGATTAACATAATAACCTAATGATGTAGCAAACTAAAATCTTGTGTCTTCATAATCTGAAATATTGAGAAAGAAGAAGGAAAGTAGAAAGGAATAAAAGTGAGATAAAGGTGGAGTAGATGAGAATCAAAATGCAACATTATTAAGATTCTAATGGAACAAATTCTGCCAGTTAGTAAAACATTTCGAATTTTTCTTTCCTGCTTATGGATGAGACGCAAAGTCACTTTCTTTCTCTCTTTTTCATAAAATCCATGGCATCAGATGCTTCTATGGCTCTTTTAAACCTTACTTTCCTTGCCTTTCCCATTTTTGAACCATAGCCAATCTTCTACTCTTACCATTCAAAATTCTCTCTCTTTTTTCTCCCTTTATTCCTTTTTCCCCCTTTTTGATAAATTAGTTTTGAAATTTAGATGGTTGATACAGTATTAATCAAAAGATTACATTGAAATTGTTGTAAGGATTGAAACATAAATTTAAAATATATAAATTAATTTTTACTGAAATTCGTCGATGTTATTTTCATAATAAGGCAGCATATGTTCTACCTCATTTTATCAAAACATGAGATTGAATTCTTGTTGCCAAATTAATAATAGTATTCAAAATTAATTGTTAGTATCATTAAAAATTAAATTTTATAATTATTAGCATTATTAAAAAAATTGTTTAGATTTAAAAAGATTAAAGTGTAATTAATATTTATCTCTTAAATATCTGTGTGAATAGTTAACATGTTCACATATCTGTTAATATTACTGCAGGTAGTACTACTAAAATAAGTTTAAGAAGTAATTTAACTATTAAAATTTTAAAATCTCTTTTTTCATTTTTAAATGAAATCTTTATAAGAGATAGTTTAAATAATTTTTTATGTTACGTAATTGATTTTTTTTTCTTTTCTCTCTATTAATTTAAATATGTAGATCAAGATGTTGATTATGTTAATTATCGGAGTGTAGCTTATTGTATTCTACTTCTCATAAAGTTTAGCTGACTTGGTTCAGTGCAATATAAGTCAACCATACATCCAATTTATAATTTATCTTCAGATACTGCTATATTACAAATTACTTGATTCGTACACGTTAATGCGTAAATATTTTATTATTTTTATCATATTAATTACGAAAAAAATATTGATTATAATATTAATAAATTGATGTTATTTAAATTATAACATTTACAAAAATTATTACAATTTATTTAAGAAAAGACTTAATTGTTATTGAGTTCGCTAAGTGTTGATTCAATGCAAATGTTAACATCAATCCTAAGATGTTAACAAAAGTATTTATTTGATGGTAAATTTTAAATATTGACAATCTTAAAAATGTGTTTTAAATTTTAAAGAATTTTTTTAAATTTTTTAATAATAAAAAATATTTAATACTATAAAATTTGAAAGACTAACTTAGGAACTAAATTTTACTTTAATCTCTTAAACATGCTACGTGATTAAAATTAATCTTTTAAATTTATACATCAGTACAAAAAATTAAAAAAATAAGGTTTAAGTTATATATATATATATATATTGTGAAATGCAACGAAATGATACAACAGCTTGTACTCTATGGTTTTCGTTAATTCCAAACAGTTTTTAAAAAATTTAATATTTAACTAATATTATACCCGTTTCATAACATTTTGTGTGTAAATATTTTATATCATTATGCAAATCTCAGTTAAAAAAGGATATAATCAAAGCATTATCTATTCGGTTTAATGGTTTATAAAGCAAGTTTTTAAAATTAGATCAGCTATTAAATCCGTAAAGATACTAAATTACTATTTATTATTTAATCGTGGTGAAATTATGATTAGAGTGGGATTAATTAAATATACATAAAGCATCATTTGAAAAGGCCTAAGGTAAAAGCGTGCGAATATCAGTCTGCTTTGGACTGAGTTGCTTGAAAAAGGGGATGAGCATGCCACAGTCAAACTAATCAATCTCTTATTTACAAACATGACACTGTTTTGGGAAGCGAAGTATCAAATCAAATTATTTTCTTATAGTAATTATTATTTATGGATGAATATATCGTTATTTCTTAATCAAAAGTTGGCATGGATTAACATTTTCCATCAATATATTCGCCTTTTAGACCTTTTATCCAATCAAAAGAATGAAGAAAGCTAATCTTCAACACACCTTCATCCTTTATGTGTATGCTAGCATTTTCAGTCATGCGTGTGTGGGAGTGGGGTCATATTTACACTAAGTTAATGAACTATTTACTACCAACGACATAAAATTAAATCACTGTTCTGTTTGGTCGAAAAAACAAATATCAGTGTTTAACACAACAATTTAGTGCAGGGCCTTAATCAAGTAAGAAAGGGCTTTAACTAAGTTGGAAATGTTGCCTTCAATCCACCAAACACATTCGGATCTTAACCCATTCAACGCGCAAGAATGGGCTTTTGGGTTAGAATCCAAACTCTTAAGAATCCTTCCCTTTTCGGCTAAAAAGTAGCTATACTAGCAGCAACATCTAATAGAATAAAGAGCAGATAAATTCTCAATTAAATGATAATTAACCCCAACTAGTCCTCAAAAATGGCTTAAGTAACATTCAATTCCACATCACGACACGTAAATCAAAATAATATCACATCAGCAACCTGCAATATGCTACCAATCCTAATAATCCATTGAATGACACGTTCACAACTTTCTACAGAAAATTTTGCATTCTCTTGATGCCAAAATCAAATAGAGTACAACTTTTAACCAATACAATGGACAAGTGAAACAGCTGTAAAGAATTTTGTCAAAATTTAGCAAATGCCTCAACTTGTGCTAAGCAAGCTGCAAGCAAATAATATACGATAGACATACAATATCTTTAGACTAAAAGTGGAGTATTACCAAAACCTTCTGTTGATGTTGTTGACCGCATATGATAGGAAAAAATTATAAAAAAAGGAAGGGGAGATACCCTCTCCATATACATACAGGGTTTGTAACTCTCTCTTATTTCACCCCTTTTCCTTCATCTTCATTCAAAATCCGATTCCGGAAATCACTAACCATAAGAGGAAGTCCTTTTCTCAGAGGGATTTTTGGTTCCCAATTCAGCAGTTCCTTTGCTTTGCTAATATCTGGCTTCCTCATATGTGGATCATCAGCAGTATTTGGTTTGTATTCTATTGTAGCACTTGAGTCAATTGTTTCTTTCACAACCTGCACTTTATGAAAACATGGATGATCATAAAATAATAATTATGATACACTCTACTCTCGGGACCCCAAAATCAATTGCAGAAGCGTGTCACCGCAGCAGAAGTGCATAGTTAATATGCTATATGCAAGGCCATTGATTAGGGAATCAACAAAACAAGAATATTACAGCGTGATCTAACTTGAGCCTTGTTAGGGAAAAAAGAAACATACTGAGAAACCAAAAGATTTAAGAGGTTTGGAAAGAAGACAAAATACCTGAGCAAGCTCTAACATGGTAAACTCCCCTGGGTTACCCAGATTGAAAGGTCCCACATGTTCACCGTCCATCAAAGCTACCAATCCATCAACCTGTGAAATTTAAAATAATATCAAGTTCACCATTGAATCCTTACAATGCTGCATATGTTCTCACAAAAAAAGTGTACAGCACAAATGATTCTTTGATTTGAACCTATTCAAAACCAAATTCAAAATCTTTCCAATTTGAAATTATAAGTAGAAGGGAACCTTTTTCTGAACAATGGTAACATGGAGGTTTACACTTATGACCTCCTACGAACTAACCGAACCCCTCACCACCACTAGCTCACACTTAAAGACTTAGACACTACTTTTGTACAGTAGCTAACTAAATTACAAGAAATTATCAAATTTTTAATTTAACCTTCTCAAACATCTATATCTGTTTGCCTTAGATACATTCTCTAAAGCAATAAAAGAAAAGTTAACAGAAAACATGTAGTTATATCTTTTAAGCTACAATTTTTCTCCCCTGCCCGTAAAACTCAAATCTAAATTCAATCGATCAGAACTTAACTAAAGATTCATTAGTCTTTCAGCCTACTAAAAATTTCTGTTTTGTTGATGAGCTTTAGGCTAAACATGTTGCATGCATACATAATTTATAGCATAAAGAAAAGATGCAGAGAAATGTAAAGATACATAACCAATATATCATATTTGCTATACCAAATCAGAGACATATTGGAAGCTTCTTGTTTGCTTCCCATCGCCATATACAGTCAATGGTTGTTTGCGAATAGCCTGTGAATATAGAAAAAAAAAATTGTATAACAACAGGAAATCTTCTTACAAAAAATTATAATAGAGAAATGAGGAAAGAAATGGAGTCAAACCTGTGCAACAAAATTGCTAACAACACGCCCATCATCTAAACACATGCGGGGCCCGTATGTGTTGAAAATTCTAGCAATACGAACCTATAAATCAACAAGAATCAGATTCAGTAACATTTGGTTTGCAGAATCTACCATAATCAGTCTAAAATTCACATATGTTGGATTAGTTATTCATTTTACTCTGTAAAAAGAATTTTCCGAGCAGTTAACCATGCATTGAAATTAAATCATTTCAATGCCTATACATGCAATAAGTATTCAATACCAGCAGTCATAAGGCTGAAAAAGAATAGGATTTTTTACAATGGATCCTCTCATGTCTAACTTAGCATGATGAAATCATGTTCATATCCTGTCACTGTCTCTCTCTCCTGGTTAGACATTAAAATTGTAAGCTAGTAATAAATAAGTAAAAAAAAATTCCCAAGTTTACTCAATTAGAATTCCAACGTGAGCCAACTGAAAAACTTAATAACCAACCAACTCTAGACAAGCTACATTTCACTAAAAAGATGCACAAGTTTATTAACTCGCCATGAATGAACTAGTTAAGTACAGAATTCCTTTACGTGAAACTGTGACCCACGAAGCAGCCAACTAAAATGGTTCAGGGTTCAGTCACACATAGATGTGTGCATGTTTAACAATGGCTGCCTAGAGTGGTTAGTTAGATCACTCTGAGCACAATCCAACGTTGGGTGCAAGTTTATATTCAGTAAATCACATAGGTAGACCAAGTTTGTAAGCACAAAAATAATCATGCTTCAATTTTCGGGGGTAAATAATTATTTGGAAAAACTAAGGACAGTTTAATGACATAATAGGTAAAGAATTTAATGAATATCATAAGCTAACAACGAAGCAGGCAAGAAAAATTACCTGAAACCGCAATGCATGCATTTTGTAAGCCAAAACAACGCATGCAAAGCAGGATGCAAACAAATTATGAAGTGAGTATCAAAACGGTATGCGGTAACATCACACAAACTTCTTATCCAACAAGGTAAACAACCTACAGTAGCTATAACAAATTAAATATACCTCAACGCCAGCACCTCGATGATAATCCATGGTTAAGGTTTCTGCAGTCCGCTTTCCCTCATCATAACAACTCCTCTCACCTACAATTTGTAAACATGAGCTAAATCCTAATAAACACGGCAACAAGGAGAAAACGTCTATTTTAACCTGTAACATGTTACCTATTGGATTGACATTCCCCCAGTAGGTCTCTCTCTGGGGATGCTCGAGGGGATCACCATAAACCTCACTGGTACTCGTGATCAGAAACCTGGCTCCAACCCTCTTGGCAAGGCCCAGCATGTTAAGCGTACCCATCACATTAGTCTTGTAACACAACACAGTCGTCAAGGATCCCAAAACATTGATTCGATTATATTAATATACAAGGGAAAACGTAAAAAATGAAAAAGCGAAGGAATGAAGAAAGAAGGATATGATGGTTTTGACGGGATTGTACTTGTAGTGAACGGGTGAGGCAGGGCAAGCGAGGTGGTAGATCTGATCCACTTCCAAGAGAATGGGTTCAACGACGTCGTGTCGAATGAGTTCGAAGCTGGGGTTCCCGAACAGGTGTACCAGGTTATCCTTCCTGCCTGTGAAGAAATTATCAAGGACAATAACGTCATTGCCTCTGCCAATGAGCTTGTCCACCAGGTGGCTACCGACGAAACCGGCTCCGCCGGTTACCACGACTCTGAGGCGGCGTCCGGCGATTCCAATAGGGAGTGTGGAAACGACGTGGTGGTGGCGGCTGAATGGGGCGGCGGAGATGAAGGGGCGATAGTTGGGGGTGGTCCGGCGAGAGAGGGTGGATTGGATGAGGAAGAAGAAGGAGGCGATGAAGATGCCGATGAGGACGAAGAGGAGTCTCTGTTCGCGTAAGAGGTAGTTGATGGATCTGTTGTGCTTTGGGGCTTTGGGTGAGTAGGGTGGTGATGATTGGGTCTCTTCATCGCGTCTGTGATTTAAGCTTGTTTGCTTGTGGAGTTGTTTCATGATGCAGAAGAAGAAGAAGAAGGAGGAGGAAGCAGAAGATTTTGTGGTGGTTCTTGTTCAAAGTTATTTGTTATAGCCTTATTGTGTTGTTGTTTCCCAATCAAATGCCATGTGTGAGTGTGTGGATATTTCCAAATACTACGTTAAGATTCACTTCCACCATCAATCAACGTGCCCCTCTCTCTCTCTCTCTCTCTCTCTTCAATATCAAATAAATTATTTGTAAGAGAATATAAGTATCCAATTTAAATGTAATCCAATTTTAATATAAGAGGTAGACACTAATATCTCAAAATTTATCGAAAAAATATATAAAATTATATTTACATTCTTTAAATTTTAATACACTTTTATGTACGTTTTCTTTTCTCGGTCTTATATATTAATATTTTATAATAACACAATACTGTATATACTTTTTACAATACTTACCTCTCCTTATTTTTATATAATTATATGAATCAAGAAAAATTAAAATAATGTAAATAATTAGGTATATATTTGACTTAAAAAACAAGTAATTGGATTCACAATTGACAAATCTCATACCTTAAGCTGTTGTGCAATTGTATAGCGTTTGAATGCATTTGAGACACAACTAAGGTATGAGAGCAGGCAGGTCTGCATGGTCCAAGTCAACGTGACTTAGCTCTATAAATTTATGAGACTCGTGTGAAAAAAAAATGACCTCAAGCTAAAATTTTGTTTGCAAGTGGTAACGTCGTGTTATAATGAGATTATTAATGACTAGTTTCACGTGTATTCATTATTTCACTAAATTATAGGATGTTATACGATTCTAAGAATATTATTGGGTATTCAAGAGAAAAACTATCTTTTTTATTCTTATTTTTTCAACTAACTAAATAATTTTTTTCTGTTTACCTTTTTTAAAATATTTTATTTATACTAAACAACTTAAAGATCCTGTCATTTTTTCTTCCTTTCTTATTTCTTATTTCTTTTTTAAACTAATTACTCTGAAAGAATAGAGTAATAAAAGTCTTAGGTTAATCACAACAGAACCATAACCACCCAAAAAATTGTGAACAAAAATAATAAAGTTAAAAAAATTATGAGATTATGGTTTTTTATTTCTTTCTTTATTATTCCTTCAATCACTTATTTCTTTTAAATACAATAGGACACATGATAAAAATAGGTATATAATATATTTTTATTAAAAATGATAGTATTTAATACTATTAATGAATTAAACTGTATTAAATTTTGTAATTTTTAATAAAAGTTTATTGTATAAATAAATTCTTATTATGTGTAATGTAGAATATATATATTTAGTTTCAGCACTAATGTCTTCTTTAAATTTTTAACTTTCAAATGATCTAGGTTCTCCTTTTACGAAATACCTTGAAATTATCATGTTGATGGAATCATGCTTTTGACTAATTTCATATGAAAAAAAAAAGATTACATGATTTTTAACTTTTAAGAATGGTGCTAATTAAGTCGGATTATGCTTTCTACCAAAACAATCTATTAAACATATACTCTCGTGCATGAACTAAAGTAGGTATTTAGAAAAAAATATATACTTAGTGTCCCTTACAAATATTTTATTATTTAAATTTTTAACTTTTCAGTATATATATAATTTTTTAAAATATTAAAGAAACAAAAAGATGTTTACAGTTCAAAATCTATTTAAGCGACCACAGTGGGAGTCGAACCCACGACCTTTTGATCCGAAGTCAAACGCGCTAATCCACTGCGCTATGCGGTCCCTCATTAACTATTACATATATCAAAGTTACACAGAGCCCAAAGTACAAGAATAACTTCTTTAGTTTTAGTTTTAGTTTTTTCTTCTTATTTTTTTAATAAAATTATTTTAAATATTAATTTTCTTTAAAAATTACTGGTACATTTTAAAGTTTCGTTTAATCTAGCCTTCCATCGTTAATTTAGACATTAGTATTTATTTATTGTATGGATAGACAAAATTTTAAATTGTTAGATATTGCAGATATATTTAGTTTATCTTTAATTAGACTATACACTAATCTAAAAAATAAAAAGTAAAAAATAGTTCATTTTATCTTTTAAAGGTCTATTAAGGTTCTCCTGTTAAAAAAAAGGCTGTGATTTTTTATTATTTTATCTTTATCTATGTAATTAAACTCATTAATTTAATCATGCATACTTAAATTTTTTTTATCTGATATGTATTGCTTTAATATTTTAGTGTTTTTTGTTATATAAGTGTCGTTTGACATTTTGCATAAAGATTATTTAACTTTAAAAATCAAAGTTTGTTGGAGTAAAAATGGTGTTCGACCCCATTCACTCAACAATGATTCACTTCGACATTGTAAATCTGCCTTCAAAATTGAAGTATATATCTCTCATCTGTACCAACCCAACATAAAAGGCATTCAACGTGCCATGAAAGTTAGGGTTGAGCTAGTAGTTTTCTACAAGAATCTAAACACACTACTGTAAACGATTCATTTAGAAATGGATATGGTAATTTTGCTTCTTTTTATTTTCTTAATTGGTATATTTTTATTTATAATTGTGAACATTATCTTTTTGAGTTATTTCTTGTTTCTAAGATGTTGTAAAGAAAGGGTTAAGAAATTTGACATATCACTTCCTTTGCAAGTTTTTAAGAACATTAAACAAATGGTGTTTCAAACATTAATTTAAATATAAATAAAATATCAAACATGAATCATAAAAAACTTATGGAAGATTGTTTTTAATAATAAAATATCATTTTATCAGTAACAAAAAAATCAAATAAAAAATGGAGACGCTTGAGTGATAAAATATTATACTATTGTTTAATTGTGAATATTTCATCATATTCAAGGTTCTTAAAAACACTCTATGCGCAGTCATTAAAGAAATTAATACGAGAATATCTATGTCACAAAATGAATAAGATACGTAGTTACGAAAAATGTTATTCAAATTATAAAAATGAACAATTGAATTTTTTTCATAAATGGACATTTAGAATGTGACTCTCTTACAAAAAGAAAAACAGCAAGGAAAAACAAGAAAAAAATGTGAACATGTAAAGCTCAACCTTCAACTTTTGCAAACTGGTGTGCATCATATAGGCTGTTTTTTCAAATCTATCGACAATAAATAATAATATATATGATTTGCTTAAGCCAATCGTCTGTAGAAAATGGGATGACCTTTCATTTGTATTGGTTGACCATAAATAATTTTCCAGCCAAAGAGAATCTTGTGGAGGTTATCGTGCTATGGAAAAAAGTGCAGCATGCAATAATTCCAATTTCATGTATAAAATTCTTTACTTCTCCTTTTTGGTAGGGAATAATCAAACCGAATGAAAGAACTTTCTAGTTATATATGCAAAATTACCAAATTTATATTATACATTTTTAGTAAAATTTTGTTCTTTTATTAATCGGTATCAGTTTTATTAATTTTACCATCAGATTAAGAGTGCTTAACATGGCAATGCCAGTATAATTAATCTTCACATATGAAAGCTTTTGGTCTTTGATTAGGTACTTTCACATATACACACGTGTGATTAAGCATCGAGTCGAGAACAATGGTTTGATAAATCTTCCCAAAATGACAAGCCCACGATAAAATTGCATGACTATGTACTGACGTATGTCAAAAGATAATAGTATCATTAAATAATAAATATAAAAGCTCATATAACAGCAATAAATCAAAGACTATACTGCAATTTCGATTAAACATCTTATAAAAAAAATTGTGCGCTCTCTAAACAAGTGTACATTAAAAAAACATTTCAGTAATGCATCTTACTTCTTTTTAAGCTAAAAAGAAAAAAATAAATATATACGCAGGCCTTTAAATTTGAATAAAGTAAAAATATGAGTTAAAAATATTTAAGAAAATTTAGTTTTAAATTGCACTAGAAAAAAAAAAGCAAAATGAATTTGGTGCAATAATAAATGTCAATGTAAATTTTGGGGGTCAAGTCAATAAATTAAATGAGGTCACGTCAATTGCGTGCTTCTAACATCGCCCGACCTATCAAATCTCCCTTTGGGGCCCCGGGAAGATCCAATTACGATTAGGAAGTCACATAGTCAGACAATTTTTAATTCGAGTATTGACTGCTTAATTTTTCAATAAATTAATTTATTTCTTAAAATTCAGGCAACTAAAATTCTCCAATTGAATGATTATTTAACCTACGAAAAGCATAGGTACCTATTATTACATTTTTATTTAAGATTTTTAATAAAATTTTATTATTAATAATTTAATTAATCAATAATAAACATTTTATACAAACAATATGATGATAAGTATTTTAAAGTAATAATGAATTTATTCATTATTTAAAAATACTGATTCAAGTTCTAAAATTAAGAGTAATAATAAATGTCAACTGAAAAACAGTAAATTTGTAATGATAAATCAGCCATTAGAAAGCATGGTAAATTTTAATTCCTTGTGGTGGAAGGGTTACGTCAACAACAAGCAAGCAAGGTGAATGCACTGCGTATAATTGCCAACAAGTCATTTTTGAAAGGACCAGCGCAAGACAATAGCATTGCAACTTAGGCGTTTACATTTTTCCTATAATTATCTACCGAGACACCGTGAAGAGTAGCCTTTTAGTTTGGCGTTATTAATAATAAATATTTGTGTTTTTATTTGGAATTTATAAATTTTTGTCAATCTTAATGATTTTTAAAAAATAAAATTACAGTACGAAAGAATAGTATTTTAGTTTAACTTTTCAAGACTGAAAAAAGAGGAAATGAATAAAAGCTTTCTATCATATTTTTTAAATACATTTTCACTCTTAAATTTACTTTTTTACTATTATATACTTTTTTATTTTTAATAAATTTTAGTTAATAATAAAAATTATATTAAAAAAGTATATTAAAAAGTAAAACTGGACAGTGATCAGATATGAGTAAGTTCAGGTTAAAAAAACATAGAACTAAAATAATCTTATTTCTTATTAATTTTACAAAACTGGCGAGTGACGCGTGATGCATGTA